AACTTCATTTTTGGAAGAGAAATATCCACTTTCGGCATGCCTATCTTTGCCCCTTTAGCTCCAGGCCCTTCTACTTCAATATCAGCTTTTGGCAACTTCATTTTCGGTAGTGAAACATCCACTGTTGGCATGCTTATTTTTGCCCCTTTGGCACCAGGTCCTTCTACTTTGATGTCTGCCTCTGGAGATTTCATTTTGGGAAGTGAAATATCCACTTTTGGCATGCCTGTTTTGGGGCCCCCTATCTCAATACCCTGAGTCTTCAAATCTACCTCTGGCAATTTCATCTTTGGTAGGGAGATATCAACTGATGGCATAGATATTTTGGGGCCTTTTGAGGAAAGGCCTTCAGTTTCCATTCCATGAACATCTAATTCTGCATCAGGCACCTTGATTTTCGGTAGAGAGATGTCTACTTTTGGCATGCTTATCCTTGCACCTTTAACATCAGGACCCTCTACTTCAATATCTCGTATTTTAACATCTGCTCCTGGGCCCTTCACATCGACTTTAGGACCAGAGATATGTACATCAGCATCTGGCTCTGTCAATTTCCCAGAGGCACCAAATTTTGGCAGAGATATCTTTGGCATTTTCAGCCTTATATCCAGACCTTCCCTGCTGCCTCGGCTTCCTGCATCAAGGTCACCCTTCATTTCTACCTCGGCAGCCCCTTTCCCCTTTGGCAGGTGCAGATCTACATCAGGAATGGGAACTGAAAGGTCAATGGATGGCATTTTGATGCCAGGCAGTTTCATCTTTCCCTCGCCACCTTCCTCTGCAACTCTCATGCCTCCTTCAGGTCCAGCGCCCTCTACTTTTATTTTTGGCAAAGAAATACCAACAGATGGCATCTTCATCTTCGGGCCCTTAGCATCAATGTCCACTACTTCAACCTCTGCTTTGGGGCCTTTGATCTCTCCTTCCACTTTTGGAGGAGACACCTGAGCCTCCATGTCACCCTTAAAGACTCCAAATTTTGGGAGTGTCACTTTGGGCATTTTAACCTTCATGCCTTCATCAACAGTGCCCTCAGCACTCAGCTCACCTTCACCCTCTCCTTTGCCCTTTGAAAGACCAAAATCAATGTCCACTTTGGGTGCTGCAATGTCTATTGATGGCATTTTCAGACCACCCTTATGCTTTCCTTCTGGGGCCTCGATACTCAGTTCTGCTCCAGCTCCTTCAAACTCACCCGAAGGCATGGAAAGCTCTATCTGAGGGAGTTTTATTTTGGGTGTCTTTAATTTGCCTTCTGGACCTTCAATACCAAGTTCGCCCTTGGCTGAAGGAACATCCACTCCTTCTGTTTTTGTGGAGATGCCAACCTTGGGCATCTTGATTTTAAAGCCCTCCGCTTTCAGCGTGCCTTCTTCTCTTTCAGGGCCTCCTTTGATATCCACCTTGGGACCCTTCACATGAACTTCTGGTTGGGGAACTGTAATGTCTGCCTTTCCTGAGGGCAAAGCAATGCCCAGTTCCACTTTGGGTGGCTTGAATTTATGCCCTTCTTTTTCTGTAATCTCCTGTTCTGGCAAACTCACTTCCTTTTTCCCCAGGGGAAGACCGAAATCAAACTCCACTGATGGGGGTTTGAATCTGGCCTCCGGTGGCTTCACATCCACGGTTCCTTCAGGTGGGCTAACTTCCACTTTGGCCTTTTTAGTTTTTGGAAAGGAGATGCCAAACTTTGGGGATTTCCCTTTGGCTTTAAGCTTGGCCTCGGGGCCACCAAAGTCTGCTTTGCCCTCCGGTAAAGTGATGGCAAGCTCTCCCTCTGGTTTCTGTGTTTCTATGCTCACATCTCCTCGGGCTCCTGCAGAGTCCTTTACTTTCATCCTTGGAAACTTGATCCTCTTTTTCTTTCGGCCTGTGATCGCCACGCCTCCCGGTGCACCTGAGCCCATGAATTTCATTCCCCCCTCTGCTGAGGCCTTTCCCCCCTTTCGGAGCCTGGAGAACTTTGGGAAGGCAAACTCAACATCCACTGGGCTCAGCTCCAGCTTGGCCGGTGATCCCTCCATCTTGAGCTCTGCCCCAGCTGGAAGTTTGCCTTTCTTGCTCTTCCTCAGGCTGAACCTGCCCATCCTTTTCTTCGTCTTCAGGGGTTTGACACTCTTGACCCGCTGAAAATCCAAAGATATACCTTTGCTTAGAGTGAAAATTCACACAATACATAGTAGAGTACAGTGCATCGGAGTCCTGCATTTTAAATAGCATCTTATTCCTATGTGACCGCACAGAGTAAAACGTATTTTTCTATGTATGTTTATAACTTGCAAATCATATCTAAATATTGTATTCAAAATAAAGTGTTAGAAATCTTTTGTATTAAAAATAACATCCATCTCAAGTTATGTTGGTTCCAATTTCTCTGATAAATTAAATTACATAAAAATGTATTTTGTCCCCAAGATTGTCAGTTCCAATGGCTTGATTTCATTTGAGCAATATGTCAAAATTACTAACAGGTGTTCTAATACATATGCACACTATTGTATATTTCACCTCTGTCTATATGCAGGGGTGTTGCATCCTGATTCACCTGCAAGGAATGATGGTCAGCTTGCAATGATCTATTCTACAGTGTCCTGATATAAGAAAAATGACAACCAGGGGAAGGGTCCTTTACCATTTTGGGCATCTTGGCTTTTGGTCCTTTAACATCCAGGCTTACAGAACCGGGGGAGACATTGACATCAGAGCTTGGAACTGTCCTCTTTAGGAAGAAGGACACCTTGTAGGGTTCTGCACACTGCAGGATCTTCAAAGCATCCTCGTACTTGACATTGTCAAAGTACACCCTGGCACTCAGCACCTGGTCTCCTGTGAGGAAAGGGGTAACAAGAAAAGCTGAGCCGTCAAGCCGTAACTGTGTGACTGATATCATCATATGACCGTCCTCTACGTAAGCACATGCCAAAGAGGTCATCTGCACGGCCACCCCCTCACCAAATTATCCTCATTTCAAGTAATCCATATTGTCAACAATGAGGAATTTAAACAAGGGAGATCTGAATCATTTAAGCAGATAGTTTTTCTCTTGATTTTAAGCATAAAACTTAAAATCAAACAAAAAACATAAAACAAGAAATGAAACATAACACAACTTCTTTCATATTCAACTTACCAGACAAATCTGGAAAACAACTTTTTTTTCCAAAGAACTTCACCATATGCAATGTAACTCAAATGTCAAAACCACATACAGTAAAATTGTGAACAGATTTGAAAAAATAAAGCCCAAAGAAGTGCTTTCCAGTTCAAAGGGGCCAGCAATGACATAAGCAAATGTCATTTAATGCACAGCAAGACAGTTATTCAGTAAAGGTCAGTTAAATTTAGTCCTGTTCCCTCGGTAGATTTGTTTATTATAGATACTCAGGAAAAAAAGATTACAGAAAGACACTTTTAAATGTAATGCACTTCTCTGAAGCCATTTGCTTTGTTTTCTGAACCAACTTTTTAATCAAACTGATCATTTTCAGGATTAATTTAGCATTCAGAGAGCTGTTTGCATCAAAGTTATAGTATCAAAATGGCAGAAATCAAGTAGCTCGGGTTTAAAGGGACATAAACAGGAATTCAGATCACTTTGGGCATCCAGTTCGTGAATGCTGCACGACGGAGCAGGGGTTAGCACTGATGCCTCTCAACAATGGGGCCGTGGGTTCAATGTCTGAGGTACTGTCTGCATGGAATTTGTATGTTCTCCCTGTGTTTGTGTAGGTTTCTTTCAGGTGCTCCTGTTTCCTCCCACAAGGTAGGTTAACTGACTTCTGGGGAAACTGGCCCTGGTGTGAGTTTTTGGTGATTGTGGACCTACGGCGGGGGGAAAATGTGGTAATGAAGAGAACTATTTTCTGTTCGTTATGCATTTCATGCAATGTCTGTGAGTATACTTGTGGACCACTTATAAGAAGCCCTGTCTATAAACTCTTTTGTACTGTAGCCCCAGAAGGCCTGAAATCTAGTGCAGTCTGTATTGTTTAAGATCCCGTGATGGAAACAAACAAGTCCGTTGGTGGGAGTCTCCCTTCCTGGCTCCCCCCACGCTTACAGCTTCAAAACTGCAATCACAAGGAATCAGTGTCTGTAAGCCCACTGCAGAACAGGGTCAGGTCAGGGCTAGTGACAGCTCAGGCTACTGCAACTGATGCCCAGCAAGAGAGCACTGGCCTTCATGCCTCTCAGGCTTCCCATACAGAAGGCATCTACAGCGTACCTGTTTGCTCTCACAATTAAAAAGTAGACTGTCACAGTCACTCATTGGGGAGTGATGTCACGTCGATCTGAGATGGAAAATAAAGCAAAAATCTGACCTTTCTGGAGGCTGAGGGATTTCGCTGCCGGTGAGTCCTTGAGCACATTCTTGACAAAAATGCCCTGCTCCCCTCCTCCTGCAACACTGAACCCACTGGCGCCAGCCTCGGCCTCTGTCTCCACGACAACCTCCACTAGCTCGGAGCGAGCCACTTCCTCCTGGGCAACAAGTACAGCAGCTGGTCAACAAGGCAGAAGGTGGCTGGCCAGGGTCAGGAGGAACTATCAATTCCCCACATACTGAGGATCACGTCCGCCAATAATGGACTTAACACAGTGATCCCAGGCTAGAATGGGTTAAGTATCATGCAACTGAATTGTTTAACATAGTTTTTTGTTTTTGGTAACTTATACCTTTTCAAAAGTGTGGGCATTTGAATGGTACAGCAGACATTTTTGATTATTTGAAAAAAAAAAACACAAACATTTGAGAGATGTCCAATAATTGATGCTTGATAAACTTGACAAACTAATGAGGTTTCTTTTCTTTGGCATTGTGTGTCATTGAATGTTTAGGGAAGAGTTCTTCAGACAGGCACTCAGAATACTGTAAGAGGTGAAGAAATGCCCATATCAGATCATTACCTGTGTCACGTTGATCTGGACAGGAGGATCCATGCTTTGTAGGGAAGGATGTGACGTTTCTTTGAGAAAACTTCTTTTCAAACTCAAGACCTGCTTCAACTCTGCATGGAGTTTCTCCTTCTGAACCTACGGCAGAGTCAACAGAGGAAGTCACAGTGAGGCAGCGCTGAAGCGCTGGCTCAGTCTTGGACCTGGGGTTCTGTATGTGTGGAGTTTGTGTGTTCCCCCAGTGCTGACTTGGGTTTCCTCTGTGTTCTCCGGTTTTCTCCCACAGTTCAATGACACACTGGTGGGTTAACTGGTATCTGGCAAAACTGGCCCAGGTATGAATATGTGCGCGTCTGTGACTGTGTGCGTCCCGAGATGCACTGGCGTCCCATCCAGGGTGTACCCCGCCTTGCGCCCCTTGCTTGTGTGGGCTAGGATCCTGCACCCCCACAACCCTGTACTGGACAAAGCAGTTAGAAAAACAGATGGGTGGGAGGACCTTTTGGAAACATTTTCAGCTCTGAAACGGCTTTAAACACAGGGATGTAGGACGCCCTAGCTATGACAAACCAAATGTCACCCAGAAGCTGTGCACACAGAGTTTCAGCTGAGGTGACTGGCAGCACGGTGATCACAGCCATGACTCACCACTCTCTCTGGGGTCTCCGGCTCCTCGGCAGACAGGAGAGGGTGAGCAGGGGGCGCGGCAGTGGGAGGTCTCTGTGAGGGGGCAGCTCGCTCTTTACTCCTTACCTCACCAGCCTGGGTAGAAAACACAGGGCAGCAGGGCAGGATCTGCACTGGTTAACACGAAAGCTGCAGCATCCTTCTGAGGTTTTTTTTATTTAATTTGTTTATTTTTACAAAATATGACTGTTTTTGTACTACATTGAGATGAACGCGTCTCAAAGCCACCTAATGCTAAAAAGAGACCTTATGCTATGAAACAGTGTCGAGGCAGTCAAGGAACGAATGAGCGCCGTTGTTGGAAAGCTGGTCTGCAGTGTTAAGACCCTTCACTGAGGGTGCACAGGAGAGTGACCTACAGTTCTTGGCGGGGAAAGTAAGAGAGAAAGAAAACCAAAAATAGAGAAGTAAAGCCAAAAGGAAAGGGGAAAATAAAAGTTTTGGTGTCCACTCACTGTTGATTCTCTTTCGTGGAAGAAAACATAACTTTCTTCCAATTCTCCGTCAGAGCCTGGAGACACAAAAGAACAGATAGCTCAGGTTAGTATCGGGCAGTAGGATAAAGTGCAACAGGATTCTTCCCATGTGCCACAAGGGCAGGACAGGGGACCAAGAGACAAGACATCAGGCAGGGTAAAGGATTTGGAGCGGTGTGGTTTAACAAAGGACCTGCCCAAGGATGCAACGACTGTCACTTCAACAGCTCTGGAACAATGGAACCAGGGCACGTGATTGCACAGCAGGGTAATCAGGCTGGAAAACGCGACTTCTTGGTCAGAAGCACACGCTGTTGCATTTGCACTGGTATTCCGCCCATCTCGCAGGGGCCTTAGATATGTCAGCGCGTCCAGAGAGGCTCAGATGTCCCTGATCAGAGCCAGCAAATGCCAGACGCTCTATAACGCGACTCCAAAAATCCTCCCCAAATAGCGCAAGTCAGCATCACCGAACACCAGTGCTTACAGAAGGGCGGGAAAACAGGTTGGTGATGTACCCAAGACACACTGAAGTACTCATACACTGAGTGGTCAAAATATTAGGAATAACAACTGCAACTGAGTTTTCAGGCTTCTGCAAGAACATCTTGAACAGAACACATGTATTCTTCCAGGTTTGGAAATTGTACCCGGATCTCAACCCCGTTCTTCACAATTCGTTTGCCTTCAGCTCAAGTTGTGATGAGGGGTGAAGGGGAAAACAGGTTGCTGATGTACCCAAGACACACTGAAGTACTCATACTCTGAGTGGTCAAAATATTAGGAATAACAACTGCAACTGAGTTTTCAGGCTTCTGCAAGAACATCTTCAACAGAACACATGTATTCTTCCAGGTTTTGAAATTGAACCTGGATCTCAACCCCGTTCTTCACAATTCGTTTGCCTTCAGCTCAAGTTGTGATGAGGGGTGAAGGTACACAGGTCCGAACTGGACATTTTCCCCAGTTTTCAACAGGATTTAGAAAGTGAAGGGTTTCGGCCAGGGATAGTGATGTCATGTTATTCTTCTGCTCCTCGGGTCCAAACATGTATCACCTGCCCACTGAGAGAATCTGTTCTTGTTTATGGGGGGAGGTGATGACAATGACGAGACACATGTCCGATGTTTTCACAGCACTACTCTGCCTCCTAGGTGAGATGAACAGGCTATTGCATGAGCATCTGAATCAGGCCCTGGATGACACACCACAGGCTAAGCTACCCTGATACAGAGGGGTTTGTGTCTGCTCTGTTTTGTGTTGCGTGTCATTCTATTATCGTCTCCAAGAAAAGGCTTCTTAAATAAACGAATAAGGCAGGATTCTCTATGGTATTACACACCTGAGAAAGTATTAGAGCTGAAGGCAGATGGGTGAGGGTAACCTCTCTTCAGGAGACAGGGTAAAGAATCAGAGCCCAGGCTACAGAGGTGAAGCGATCAGCAGACCTTTATTTCAGCTGAAGATTAGACGGAATACAGCAGCATGAGAGGAAGAAAAGGTTTTTTTCTCCATTTTCTTTCTCTGTCAGTTTCCCCCTGGCAGTGCTCTGTTTACAGCCCGATTAACAGAAGTTACAATTCTCTTTCCCATGCAGCTCCCACCTCCAGCACCTGGATGACTTTCCTTTCTCGCCTGTTTATTAACACAAACTGAGTGTTTGTAGCTGCCTGCAGTCCACACAATTTCTCAGAATCACAACAACATATTGTTAACAAAAGTTGTGAACCAACAACTTTTTACAGATGCTTAGAGTAACCGCTGGGATGCACAGAAAGTCCAGGCATAAGGTTACAAGTGTTATGATTGCAGTTATTTTGACATTATTGTGGTATTATATAAAAATATATATAAAAAACAAAGCCTTCAGAACAAACAAGAGAGAGCCATTCAGTCCATCTAGCCTGTTTGATCCAAGGATCTGTTCCAGCCACTTCTTGAAGGAAGCCGAAGTATTAGATTCAACGACATGTCTGGGTAGATCCTTCCATGCTCCTTCAAAGTCCTATTAAGCTCCACCCTGAGTTTCAGGATCCACACCCTCTGGTGCTGTAGAGCTCTGATTACTATAAGGCACGGGGGAATTTCAGGGTGTTTCATATCAGCATGTTTACCATTCCAATGAAGATTGTATCGGATGTCCCAGCTGGATCACGGGAAGCTGGCACAGACGACAAACAGCGCTGCCTGAGAAGCCGAACAACACCTGAACATTTTCAATCAACGCAAGGGGGCTGTTTATAGCAAAGGTCTGATTTGAGTGAGATGGTGTTTTAGGGCAGGACTAAGTCCAAGTCATCGTAGTAGGGTGGAGGAACTGGCAATTCAGAAGACATAACTCTCACAGACACACAAACCCTTTGGCACATTAATCACATTAACTCTTTTATGACTTTGCCAATGCCCCTATTAGGTCTGCACACCACTGCCAAATGCCCCTGTGAATGCAGAACTAATACAGCTCATGCCTGTGACATAATCAGCCCTGACCTACAGAAAACTCAACTTAAAACTGAGTCCATCAAGAATCAAGTCCATTCTATTTGAGCGCCTTCATATGAGGCAAAAACTCCTGAAGTGACCCTTTACGGTGATAGTCAATAAGGTAGCCCTCTCATGACTATTGCACAGCCAAGAATAAAAAAAAACAGAGGAGAGGGCCTGGAATGAAAACATTAAAATGCACACGATTTGCAAATACATGCCCAGGATTTCCAAAATGCAACCTATGCACAGTGTAGATCAAAACTTCAGAGCATGTTGACAAACTCCCAAAACCAATAAAGGTGACAGCAGTTAAGATCGTTTAGATGGCCACCAACAAGCACGGAAAAGCAAAATACTGCAGCACAAACGCTGTCTTCACTTCTTTCCTGCACTCAGCTCTGCAGAGCCACATCCCTTCAGGTGATTCCCCTCTCATGCCTGGCTAATTGTCACAACCTGAATATTTTAAAGCGCATGCACCTATCAAAACCCAAACAGCAGCCGTGCTTTCCAAAGACAAATTCCCATCTTGATTCCTTCTTTTGGGAAACACATGACGGGGCCAGCAGGTACTGTTTTGTTTGTGGCTGCTCCCTCTGGTGCTTGGTGTTATGCTCTGCACATATTCCCCGTGACCAAATCACTCATGCTAGCAGGAGAGGATCTTTGCGCTTCTTCCAAGGGAAGACACCGACACGCCCTTTACTGCTGTTGCTTCAGCTACGGCCTCCCGTCACCCCTAATAATAGGAGGCTACTGTGAAAGCCTGGGGCCCAAACGAAGAACGTCTTTGATGCAGCTACAGTAGGCAGGAGGACTTGGCATCCAGAGCCCCAGTGCAGAACCCAAGCTGGACGGAGCGCCAAGTTCTGAAGACGATTAAAAAAAAAAAAACTTTCACAGAGTTGTGTGTAGGAATCTGGACTTCTTTTATTCTGAGAGTGAGAGGAGCAGCTGGCCATCTGGAGCACGAGGGTAAAGGGGGGTGGGGTTGCTCTGGGTGGGGGGATTTTCCAAATAGCTGAACCCACTTTCTTTATATAGAAAGAGCGCCATTCCAGCGCAGGGCAGAGCTCTAACGCAGACTGCCAGCCATCCTGCATCATGGGAGAGAAGGGCTCTCCCAGTGCTCACTGTGTCTGGGGTCCACAATCAGTGCACAACCCAGTTTCAACCCCCCCCCCCCCAAAAAAAAAACCCACACAGCTGTGAAAAAACACCCGCTTTTTAATGCTTTTTGTATTTGCTTTTAACAGTAACAATAACAGTAAGTAGTTGTTTTACAGCATACCCATCATTCAAGATAAAATAACATCATCGTCCAATGACTGAATTAGGAGAGGAGATTTTCCCAATATAAATCCAAAGAGGTGACCAGATCTTCCCAAAGTGCAGAGATCATGTCAGTTTTTCTGGAGGTGGAAATCAGAACCACCTGCTTTGGTTTAACCTCTCACATCTACTGCAACATGCTCAAGGTTAGCGTGAAATGCACTGAAAAAGACAATTCCATAGGTGTTAGGAGAATCAAGTATACTCTTTACGTCAGGAGTCCCCAGCCCTGTTCCTAGAGAGCCCTAATCCAGTTAGTAGAGATAAACTTCTAGGTCACCTGTTTTTAAAGAGAAGTACCTACAGTATAAGATCCTGATGAGTTAAGGAAGTATTGTCATTAAGATAGGCCTTGTCCTTGAGGGCTGAAGGGCTTGATCCCAAATGATTATTTAACTCATCGAACCACCTGCTTCACTGATCACAGAGAAGCTGTTCCAAGTCTTTAGAAATCGATGATATAATGGTCGCCTCTGAACGATGCCAGGTGGGTAAAGCTCTCCCAGAACAGAGCTGGGTCCTACTGTATATTCAAAGGAAGGAAACTTGAGTTGTAAATGGTAATTCGGTGTATTGAAAAGGAAAATAACCTACTGTTCTTTAATCTAGTAATTCACAAGATGGATAATCAGAAGATAGATTCTGGTACCTTGTGTGATAAAGCACGAACCCCCAGCTCCATAGCAATTTGACTTCCACTGGGGGTATATACTGTACCTCATACTCATGCTTATATACTGCTGGTTTCAGGAGGGTAGCTGCGTCAGCATGCGTAGGCTGCAAAGGAACAAGTAATAGGTTTATTCCATGCTGAAGAGAGACGAAAGAAAACACAACGTTTCGGCCGTGGAGCCTTCACACCTGAAGAAGGCTCCACAGCCGAAACGTTGCGTTTTCTTTTTTCTTTATTTTCGGCATGGAATAAACCTATTATTTGTTCCTTATACCTCATTACGGTGCAAATCAACGTAAATATGCCAAATAACGAAAGAACACAACAGGAGGTAAATACAGTACTGCCCGGTTTCTGATTAAAGAAAGGAATAATGTAAAAGCACGTACCCTTTACAGCCGCTGAGCGGAGTGTTTTTTCAGGAAGACGCGATGAAGCGGGAGAGACGCGACGGGCAACGGGCGGGAAAAGGCGCGCGCGAGAGAAGGTTGGAATGACACCGCGAGCGCGCGTCGCGCCGCGGACCCCGTCGTTAACCTAGCGAACCACTTCCAAGTCTTGAGTGATAAAAGGCGTCTCCGCAGGACCTATATTTCTAATAAACTGTCAAATGTGTAATTTGGAAAACATCTTAAGTGAATGTGGATGTCAGCTTTCACCTGGCTCATCCTTAATAAAGGAGGGAATTGTTGCTTTGGAAGAAAAAAAACAAGACGCGGAACTAAGGGGCTTAATAAACTTTCGACAGAAAGGCAGGAATTCGGTACAAAGGCAGATTTGATTTAACGGATTTAATGGGTCGACAAAACGGTCTGGAAAGCCTGAATAACCGGGCATCGCGAAGTTTCTAGAAATAGGGTGGACTCGCAAAACGTCCATGTTTCTACCTGTTAAAACCTTTTCAGGGAGATTCTGTCTAACAGGACTTCGAAAATCCCGTAATCTATTATTATTATTATTATTATCAAGACCGAAACGTAAAGGAACTGACCACTCAACGACAGTATGAGACCTTCGTTAATGGTAAGAAATGAACTGTTAAAGTGAATATATTTTAAGACGAGCATTGTGCATAATTTGAAATGTTGGCGCCTGTTCTCCGCTCCCAAATGAAAACATATCTATGGAGGAGGATCACACAAATTCACCGATACCGTGCTTTTTTCTGTTATTTCTAAAGTGGGATAGAGGTGCAGGTCTGGACAATCCAGTAGCTATTCGGACAATTAGAGAAAAATGGAGAAAACAAGAATTCAGGCCTTAATTTTTTAAACGCTCTTCTCAGCAAAATGTTCGCTCCTACGTTCAGTTTTTTCTGTTCATATTTCTTTTTCTATTCTTGGAAGCGACATGCTGGCTGAGAAATTCCCTCCCACCACAATTAAATCTCAAGGCCAAGAATTGTCTGGTTTCAGTAGCTCGGAGGGACTAAATATTTTGTAGGATGTGTGCCATTTGAACAATTAAAATGAGAAGAAAACATTACCTACAGAAGCTCAAGCTCAGAAGTTAGTAGCTAATTGGTGGAGAGGATGATATCTGGTCATTTCTGGAAAGAAGCTGACAAAAATGGCGTGGTAACTTGTTCCACAATCCCACCACCCTTTGTGTAAAGTAGTACTGAGCGATTCACTCCATCCATCTGTACTAACACCAAGCACCAAGTGTTTTGCAGAACTAGTGTTCAGTTTCGCAAAACAATATCATGAGATAGTGATTCCTCAATAAGCAAAGTAAAACCAAGGGAGGGGAGGTCAGTACCATAAGATACAGTACGTAGGATCACAGGTCAGTCTGTGAGCCAGTCAGGCCTGTCAAGCAGCAGGTTGCATGGAGTAAGGTTTTCTTTTCCCCTTTACCTGGCCTGAAAACATGTCTTCCACACTTCAGCACTGAGCTCTGCATGATGTGCAAGACTTAGGCCTTTTTCCCAAATGAACATTCAGTTTTAGTTTACTCCTCTTTTCTCTTGGTATTGTGGGGGTATAAATATTATTTCATTTGATGACAACAGGTTTTTTTTTTGCACAATGTCTGAATCAAACATAGCATAGATCTTATGTTTAATTTCCAGATGCCCAGGCCTATACAGCTCTGCCTGATGGACAGACAAGCGCTGTAATGATGACTAAGGGCATTCAAAAAGAAGATATTTGACAGAATGCCTCCAATCACAATTTTCTCTATTGTCTTAGCAAACATTAGAACAGCAGGTTTTGAAAGAAAAAACACACATGCAGAAACAATCTGTGGTCAAAAATGCTTTCCCACGCCTTGCAATTGAGTCAAACCCACGGCCGTCTCTCAGTAAATGTCAGCGCTCCATAATGTGAATTCCTCCTTCACTGCAGGACAATGATGGCGAAATCCCTCATATGCATTGCTGACATTCCCGGGAAAGGTCCAGGAATCAGGAGACCCTTGTTGATATTATGTAGGCAGCCTTTCCCCTGCATCTTGTCTAGAAGTGAAAACACTTCTCTCTCTAGTCCTGTTGTGGTGTTTTTGAAGGTGGTCTGTAGGTATCGTGGCTTAAAAGGCTAATTTCACAGACTACTGGAAAACAACAATCAGAAAACACTGTTCAGAACTGACAACTGAAACATTCTGGGGGAGGTATTTGCTGTTGCACAGTGTTTGGGATCCCCCTAATAAAACCCTGTACACAAAGGGCTGTGTATCCCAAAAATTTTCCCACCTTATTTTTCCAGATCCCTTTTGTGTATTGCAAAAAAGTAAAGTATATAAAATATACAGCACAGTATATAAGCATGGGACAAGTAATAGGTTTATTCCATGCTGAAAAGAGAAGAAAGAAAACACAACGTTTCGGCCGTGGAGCCTTCTTCAGGTGTGAAGGCTCCACGGCTGAAACTTTGTGTTTTCTTTCTTCTCTTTTCAGCGTGGAATAAACCTATTACTTGTTCCTTTGCAGCCTATGCATGCTGACACAGCTACCCACCTGAACCTATGTAAGCATGGATGTGTACATCGCATAAAACCACTAGTGAATGTACAGAATTATTTTGCTTACTCCCCCATAATACTCTTCATCCCTTTCAGGTGCAAGAGGAAAATTGTATGGCTAAAGGAAAGGCAATGCATAGAACATATATGCTGGACATATGCTGTATATGCTGGATAATTCACACAATTTGTAATAGGTCTGGATTTGGCACAGATCGTGTAGCTACAGTGTATTGTAATATTCACAGCCAAGTCAAATCCACATTTCCCTGGACACTCCTAACCTAAGTCGCCAGACACAACTCTGGAAAAAACTAAAAGTGCCACTGGGTTCAAGCAGAGCAGGAAATCTAATTCACTTTTCAGGAAGCCAGCATGATTTCTGCAAATACTTTCCATGCTGACAAAAGGGCACGAACATATTCCATTGCCTTGGATCTGTTTCATTGAGTTTTGTCCGCATCTCAGGTAAAATTTAAAAATACATTTCATTTGCCATACGTATGGAGCCCTGTCACATTAAAAGCACTCTTAAGAACATTGCTTAGTTTTGAGCTTTGTGTTGCAATATATAAACGAGTATCAAGTTGCTAGGCTTTTGTACACCTGCAGAGGCTAGATGGTTGTGCAGAAAACTGATTCTTACATCACACATGTATGTAGGTTGTGTATGGGGAAAACTGGACATGTCCACTGTTTCCAGTGGTGGTTTGTGGGTTTGCAAGTAGACAAGGTGCTCAATGGTAGTTAAAGTCAATAGCTGCATCTCAGGCAGAATATCCCAGGCCTCCTTTCTGATCAAATAAAATCTCAGAGTGTCAAGCATATCTGGGCACAAGCAGCCTAAATAAACCAACTTCTAAAAATGCTTACTCAATGGCTTTGTATTAGTGTCAAAGTCCTTCTCATACTGATGCATATATACCAGGGGTGAGCAGTACTGGAGAGCTGGTAGAAGATATTAAAGTGGTCCCATTAAATCAATAATGAACTGATTTAAGTTAAGAGCAAAGTTGGAGTGAGAACCTAAAGACACACCAGCCCCTGGTTACCTAATTGCCCATCCCCCATATCTACAATACTATGGTAAACAACCAATTTAAAAAATATTTTTTTTCTAGTTTCGTCATCTGCCTTTAAGGAGATGCAGGACTAAAGCTTTCAGAAGTCAGATGAGATTAATGTATGGAGATGAACAGTCTAGGACCACTCAGTATATTAGCATGCATAAATTACGATCATTTACAACCAACTGTTGCAGATGGATGTAAGTTGAATTCATTCTTAACTTGAAAAACAAAAATGACATGCTGATCCATTCTTGAAGCCCTCACTGAAAATGCACTGAGCTTGTATGAACTGATGAGCCAAAATCAACCCGGCTTTTTTTTTTTGTCAACTTCCAAAGTAAACCGAGATAAAGAAAAATAAAAGGAAGGTGTTTATTCCTCTCAGCCCAGTTTGGCTCTGAAGGGGGCAACCTTCTCTCTGAGCAGGAAGTTGTTAGCCTGGGCCCCCCAGTTGTTGTCCATGTGGGACAGAAACAGAGGAAGCCATGCCCAGCTCATTGTTTTCTCCCAACGGTTTAACAAGACAGAATGAAACATCTGTTTACGCCGCTTTGGAGTCTGTTTCCTTGTGATTTTGTCTCTCAACTTCCCTAGACCCTCTTAAATCAGCTCCTCTTGGGCCTTCCTGGTGCCAAGGTGAATTACAGCTATACATTTTAGGAGGAGTCACCAAGGAATACGTCTTTTCCTTTTCTAAAATTATTTGAATATGTACTGGCTCAGTGGTGCACATATCCTGGCCTGGAAGATAAGAGATTACCTTTTACCATTTAGTAACTACAGAATTTGAGACACGTTTGATCCCTTTAAACCACAAAGGGCTTCTATCACTTCAGTGGTTATCAGTCCCAGCCTAGGGGTCATTTCTGGCCCCTGATTTTTGTTCCAGCCAGTTGCAGGGCAGTTTATTTCTAAATAAATAGAAATATGAGTGTTTATTTTTCATTTGTTTTCAGCTCCCTAGACGTTGAATGGAATTTGTATTTGCAACCATCCCTGTATGAATAGGTGAACTCCCAAACTGTCCTCATTGATGGGTGTTAATCAAAAGGTGGAAAATGTGACTTCAGCAGAAGAAAAACTGTCTGATAAAGTGTCATTCCTCTTCTGTTCATAATAAACTGGCTTTTTAGTCCAAACTAAGTGAGAAGATTCTTGTTGAGCATGTTAAGGAGAGACTGCAGACTTTTCTGTATGCCTAAGGTGTTGGAAAGGTACTTCAGCTACATACAACTGAAACCAAACCATGAGTACTCAAAAAAGCAAGAACAATAATTACAGGCAGCAATTAGAACTGGTGATTAAGGGCCTAGCTAGATTAAGACCCAGGAGATCCCTGGGGTCTCCTGATGACTAGGACTGAGTACCACTGAATAAAACACTTAAGAGTTTGTGTGGAGTGAAACATTGTGCTCCATTGTATGGGCTTTGTTCCTAATGGTAATCAGGCATCTTGGTCAAGGAGAAGAATGTAACCTTATTATTGGATGGAATCATATACAAACATGCTGTATAATTGTTCAGTAAGGGAAAACTGGATTCAAATGTAAAAGTCCAAAGTTCATTGTCTATCAAGTCACAAGTCATTACTCAAGACCAACTTGGTGATCCATCTCAAATGTTTCAAGAACCAAGCCCCCCTTAATATAATCTATTATGATCACTTTCTTTAGTTCTCTATTCTCTTGGTCTCTTCTGTACCTAATCCAATACTGGACACAGTTTTCATGGAAACAGGCAACAGAATAAAATTGTATGAGTCAATTCTCATATAATGAATATGAGAATAATTAAGGAGATAACCAATTCTCATATAAATTTTCATATAATGAAAGTCCAGTGAAAAAATATAAATGCATTCTCTCCATTCCTATCTCTGGGTAAGAGTGTTTAAAATTCCCAAAATAACCCCTCGCCCCCTCCCCTTTGCACAGGATGAGTTGAAGTTGGGAGGAACCCCTGTCGCAATCACGTCAGCCTGCCCTCTTTCCTGTCCCCAGATAAATGGTGGTCCAGAGACATGTGTGACACAGCCCAAGACTGAATTTCCTTTCCATTGCAAACATACCATCCAAAAAACAGGATTCCTACACCACACCCAAGCAATTGATTTGAGTTTCCCAAACTTTTGGTCGTGCTGGAATCCAATTTCACTTCATGGCAGCCAGCAGCTACTCCAGTAGAACTCACGGTGGATTGTCTCATGTAATTACTCCAAGGTCTCAAGGATTAGTATTGAACTTCAGCATCAGGTGAGTAGTGAAGTCAGGGTTAGGGTGCAAATATGTTGAAGTTGAGAAGTCTGAGGACACGTAGTAAAAGACACAGGCTGGTGCTGTTCCTGTGGTTATCAGCCAACTTTATAACACAACATCCATTATTCTAAAATGGGGCCATCTGCTTTCCTGCTGCCCTCAGTGCACTTTCTACTTGACACACGTCTGTCTTTGAAGTGTTTACAAAGACTGGTGTCCTGTTAAGGTATCCAGGTGAGCAGACAGTGTTGGATCCCCCCACTGGCTTTGAACCATGCCAGTTAAACAAAACTGGTTTGTTCACACTTGAAGCTAGTTGTAGAAAACAGCTGGATCGTCTTACTGCGCCCCACTATTAATTTAGGACCCCCCTCAAAACAGGGCAAGAAATTTCCTGCTCATGTCCTACTCATCTTCTATAGAGAATAACTCAAATTTTCCTTTGGGAATCCAGTGGAGATTTCCAGACTACGCTCTTCTGTACACTCGCCATATCACCCTGCAACTCACAACTGGCAACCCAATGAAGCTCAGCAGGTGTGAACCTGGCCAGTACCTGGATATGAGACCTTCCAAGCTTGCTGCTGGAAGAGGTGTTGGTGGGGCCAACAGGGGGTGCTCACCCTGTGGTCTGTGTGGGTCCTAATGCCCCAGTACTGGTTGGGGATACTATACTGCAAAAAGGCGCTGTCCTTCAGATGAGACATAAAACCGAGGTCCTGACTCTGTGATTGTTAAAAAAAATCCCAAGGCTTTTCTTGAAAAGTGTAGGAGCCTTACCCTAGCATCCTGGCTAAATTTCCCATTAGCCTTTAGTAATCATGTCCTTCTAATAATCCCCATCTCTGAACTGGCTTCATCTGTTCTCTTCCTCACTGAGAGCTGGTGTGTGGATAGCGAACCGGTGCACTATGGCTGCTGTCGCATCAACCAGGCCTGGTGGTGGTGGAGGGGAGTCCCCATTACTTGTAAAGTGCTTTGTGTGGAGTGTCCTGAAAAGAACTATATAGGTGTATGGAATTAATTAATATTATACTGCAGATACAGATCTTACAAGTGTCTTTCAAGAGTGTGCATCAGAGAAAAAGATTTGATTTCTAAACCACACAACTCGAGGCTTAGACACTGACTTAGTGTTCATCAAAGAATGTCTTAAATAATTGCACATTTTTTTCAGAACACTGTTCGTTGCTAGCTAAACAGTTTTGTAGGTTTTTAAAGATTTCCTACATTCTCACACCCAGAGTATGGGTTGAGAACTTTTGCATCAATCTTTCCCAGATACGGCAGTGTGGGGACACCTGCTCAGCTTAGTGCAGAGAGAGGGGCTGACTGTTTCCCATTGCCAAAGTCAAAGCCACTTTCTAAAAGATGACAGAATGGCATATTGCTTCCTGCATTAAATAGGCAGAAATAGCAGCAGCCTGGCCTCTTAGGCCCTGATGCAAAACATGATACAATATTCTTCTGCTGGTGTATCCTGAATTTGCAGCCTTAAAGGTGCTCAGCAACCGTTCACCCATTTCCAGCTCCCAGGAATTGTCAGTGATGAAGATTTTACAAATGCTGTCATTTCTATGTATAGTACATCAACAGCCCCTTGCATTCTGTCCAGCCCAGCCCAACCCACCCCACCCCCCCTGCCTGGTGCAACAGAGCCTATTTTAGATCAGGACCCTCCCCTCCTCCTCACCCCACTAGTGTTCCATCACACCAGTTCAAAGCTCACAGGCACGCCAGTTAAGGGTGGTTCGTACAAAATAATTCATGTTGTTGAGGAAAATGCATGGCATAAAAAGATTCTCTCTTAAAGCAGGGGTCCTCAAGTCTAGTCATAGAAAGCAACAGTTCAGCTAGTTTGTAGCAAGACATTTAAGTTATCTGAAAAAAGGGTTAGCCGGATTAATTCATCTTTCCCCGTGAATAGTTCTGAAGCTGCTAGTTGGTTCTGCTGCTACCCTGTTTTTTTCCCCCCAATTGTCAAAATCAAAGCTCCCAACTGATTAGATACCAGGTAAAAAGAATCTTTCAAAAGATGAGCTGTAAAAATTATTAAACACACCCTGTACAATCATAAGCCCTGTGGTAATTTCCAGTGCTTAATATAACATTTTATGGACAAATGTAATACATAAAGAGTTGCTTTTTGATTAACAGCATTTCTTTTTTGGAAGTGTGTTCAAAACTGGCAAAAACTAGTTATTTTTACACATTGGGTTGGAGCCAATATCTTGGCTTCATTCAAGAAATGGGTGATTCTAGGCTCTCATCAAGCTGATACCAAACATGTTAGAATAGATTAACCAAATGGACTCTACTGGTTTGTATTCTTTATGTTCTCATGTGTTTTTACACATTTTGTTCAGCTCATGTTGATCTGACACCAGTAGTGTTACATTATAAGTACAATATTTCTGTGCCTGCTACAGCAAGATGAGATCTAATCAGAATCCCAGCATCCACCCCTTTTTGTTGACACCATTGCCATTACCCCCAGGTAAGCATGAACCCATGAAATAGCCCTATCCATACTCCCCCTTACTTTCTGAAAGCCACTCATTCCTGGTAAGTTTTGCAGAAACCAGAACCCCATCCTGGAAGCACTGGCCTTAAGCCAGGCCACAGTCCAGAACTGAACCAAGGACCCAAGAGTTGTTAAGTAGTAGCTCTCATCACCACCAAATGTCACACTCCAGGAACTTCTACTAAACCAAATTCTAATCCGTACCCATATCCTAACCCTGAAAACCAGCATGCTCAAAATAGGACCCCTCCCACCCTAGTGCACATCAGTTGTGCCAATAACACCGCTTACCATAATTGCTACATTCCACTTGTTTGTACGGAAGCAACAAATTTCTGATGCAAATAAGACACACTGAGCCTGTCATTAGCTCTGCTTGGCACATGTACATGAATCACACGGAATAATATTCTGTGCGCATAACTGCGATTTCGTTTTAAGCAAGTGTTTTCTGAGTTCCATATTCCATACATCTCCTTTCTCACTCTGCTAAGACATAGACATGTTCATCCTCCATCGATGCTATTCGGTCTTGATGGGTTGATGCCATTTTAAAACAAAATTGTCTAAATCAAACGCTTAGAAATGACCCAATCCTGCAACATCCATCTCCTGGCATTCTTCAGAAAATATTATTGCAAATACATTTTACAAAACAATGCCATACTGTGAATTAACAACACTTTGCTATGGTTTCCCACACCTGTGTGTTTATTCCCCCAACAAGATTTCACTTTATAACACTGCTCTTGAAACATATACTACAGTTACCATTCAGAAAAGATCTACTAGTCAGTACAGTTAGCATCGGAATCACAAACAAGGGCGTCTTTATAAAGTGGACCAAGTGCATCTCAATAGAGGAGGTACTAAAAACGATTGTTTATTACGCACATAAGCACTCATTATTAAAGCCTCAATGTCCTTACTCAACCTGCGAGCATTTTCCACCATACAGAAGACATATGCCCTACTCTTTCACCCTCAAAGAGAACTATTCACTGAAATACCATGCGGGCGGAAAGCAGCAGAAAAACTCCCTAATAAAAAAAATCCTTTTGTTAAGTGGAGCAAAAGCCTTGTAAATATACCACGCATGTTGTCCTGGAATCACATTCCAAGCCCTGTAACGAGTTACATTAAAGTACTGTTAATCACAGACCAAATGACTGCCAGCGCAGCTGTCCCCTGGTGTATAAAATAAAAAAAAATTGGGAGCCTGGAGCCATCTAAAACTCTGGGTCTGCTTTCCTCCAAGGCTGACTGTTAAAACTTAGAAAAGAACGATTCAGGGCAATGAATGCAGTGGTTCAAACATGGAATAAGGCAGTTGCAAAAATACAATGCATTTCAAAGACTTAAAAGATGAGAAATAGTTTTCTCTCCGACACAGACAATGGAGACAAAAAGATGTTGGATCAATTGTACACTAAAACGTCTTTAGCTTATTTGCCATCATTACAGTAATCAAGCAAGAAACCTTTCCTTGGGATTTCTCCAGGAACATTGGAAAAAGCAGAAAATCCCAAGGAAAGTGTGAGGACAACTATCAATATACTATGTCTAACCCACTGCAATCTCACCCCAGTGTATTTTTCCTACTACACATTAGCAGTGGGGTCTTGTTAAAGCAACCAGACTATTTGCTCAAGAACAAAAAGTTCTCCTCGTTTATCTGAAAGGAAATAAAACTTAAGTTTAAGGGAGGAAAATGTGATTTGGAAAAAGGATTGAAGAAATTGATTTCAGAGGAGTATTTTGAGTTTAATAACTGGTACAGGAACAAAAGCTTCTATGCTCATCCTGTAGATGTACAGGACATCCAGGCTTGTTAATGACCTGAGTTTTGATGTGTCAATAGACACCAACCCTCATCCTTTAGGTCAAAATTCCTTGAATCCTTCACCTTAAACATTTTTGAAAGCACCAGAGTTCTCTTTGCAAGAATTGGAATCAGAAATAGCAAACTCATTCTAATCTCTTAAAAGCCGGGAGAAAAAAAAAGAGCATTTTGACTGGCCCTGTCAAATGAAATAGTTTAGTTTGATGGCAAAAGTAAATTAGATCAGACGAATCAGCTCTTACCCCAGTGCTCTTGGTCTAAAGCCCCAGTGAGGTGCAGAGATCAGCTGCTGTATCGAGAGTGCCTGCCGTCCTGCAGAATTAAAAGCTAGCACGCTCACTTATTTCTTGTTCCCCTTTGCCAAAAGCCTATCTCCTTAACTGAGCGCTGGAAAAGGAAATCCATACAAGCCCACTGCTACTGCTGCAAGTCCGGGAGGAGGGGGGAGGAAACCAGTGGCTGATTGGCTGCTGCTGCTTCTGACAAAACAGGACATTGTGGCTCACTGTTACTCTGGGATGCTCCCAAATGTGGAAGGGGAAGGGGAGGGGACGCAAGCACGCACACAGAGACATGGCAGTGGTCATGCTGGAGTGAGCTTCGCACAGTGGTCAACCTGGAGGGCGCATGCAGTACACATTCCCGACTTTAAAAAGTGGCTTGGCTTTAAGAACATAAGAACATTTTGCACAGGAAGCCAAATTAAAGCTGTGCTGGCTCAAGTCAAACATCCTACAGTTCATTTCAAGATCCACATTAAGTCCTTTAAATGATTTTATTGTTTTCAGATTTTTCCCCCTCTAAAGAGCTAAATCCAGTTAAGGAACTTAATTGTATTGCTTAATTTCTAGTATTCTTTGGAACTGGAAAGGTTGAGATGCAAGTGTAATTTATTCAAGAATCCCATCATATGAAATGCAGCAGCCCCTCCTCAACCCCAGAATGGTACAGTGTTCACCGTTTCCCCCAATGCTTCTGGCCCAAACCACACTGTCTGCATCAAGCCCTGCACCCAGCCCAAGTTCTGCTTTGTGCCTGGCGTTTGGTTCTTATGTAAATATGACCAGAAACTGAACATGGGCACATATTTACTCCTGTGGCCTGGTGTCTAGAGTTATACCCTTGAGTAATGGTCATGCCGAAATCACTTTTACTTGACATTGAGTGTTTGATAACTGAAAAGAGATGTTTTTGGCCTTCATTCACCAGCAGATGAGTATAGACTAATGAAGATGATGAACTATCAGAATGCAATTTAAATTGGAAACTCCTGGAATTGCAATTGCCTTTCTTCACACAGTGCCATACTGACAAAACTATCCCTTCAGATTTAGTCTTTTGGTGAACAAAACGTCTGTTAGTTTCACTTCTATCCTTAAGTGACTTTTAGACAAACACTTAAAAGGCTAGTTGGACTAAATGAAAAGAAAACCAAAGGAACCGAATTATGTTATTATCAGTCCCCACTGTGAATTGAAGCAAAGCTTGGTGTTCTGCAGTTGAAAACAGCAGCAACATTTATGGAACTAAAATTAAGTTTGTTTTCCAGGCCAGCACTTCTGTCTCATTAACTTCTGGGGTGTAAATCTTTTTCCTTATTTTTCCAAGTTGAAAGCATCAGTTAGAATTTCAGCTGACTGGGGCAACATGAACAACAAAAAAAAAGTGGATAGTGAAAACGCTTGCCTGCCTCAGCAGTTAACCAGATTCTCTCTCCAGCCCCAGAAACCTCTTTGACCCTCAACACAGCAACCTCACCGTTGCCAAGGCGATGCTGTGCCAGTGCTCCACAGACCGGCTTCAAACTGGGTTTGCTCATCACATGCAATTTCCCCACCATCACCTTCGAGGAAGCATCACGCAGACAGTACAGACCGAAAGAGGTGAGTCTGAGGCTTAGAGTACAATAGCAGAAAAACGCATAACAGACAGCAATGAGCACATAAACTGCTCCAGAAAAGCACTGGCAAGGTAACAAATAAAATCCACTATCAGCCAATTATCTCTTCTTGGAAAAAGTCCCAGTACCAGGTCAGATAATGTGGCCAGGCAGCTTGTTCCAGACTACCGACAGCACTTTGTGTAATGGATTACTTAGATAACTATAAATAATTTTTGTCTCCTTAAAAACCCAGGGATATTTCTGGTTCCTCGACTCTAGACTTACCAATGTAATATCGACATTTTTGTAGTACACTATTCCATGAGGTCTTATTTCCCATTTTGGCTATATAATTCTTTTACTTAAAATCTGAAACATATTGTACTCGGACATGATGTGAAAAGAGTACAGCAAACAATTATGCATATACACCATGAGAGAAAAGCCAAGAGTGTGAACACAGGTCAGCGGGTCATGAAAAGCTAACACTCCTAAACTCTTGTTGGGCAATATAGTGGTTCTTCCATATTACACTTCAATCCTAAAATCCAGGGGAAAGGGTGATGTCCATCAAGTGACCAAGTCAAACAAAACTGGCTAACCAAACTGATACTGGGACTTCAAGACCATTAAAGGCATAGACATGACTAGCCCCCCAGCCTTTAGCAATCGTCACTTACTATTAATCCCCATCTGACAATTGGCTTCATCACTCTGTTCTCCTACCCACTGATAGCATCATCGTCGTCGATGATCCACCGTTGCATCATCCAGGTGTGGGCTACACATTGGAGACCCCATTTCCTGTAACGTGCTTGTCCAGAAAAACTCTCTATATAAAAGTGTAAGGAATTATCTTGACATTCCTGCTCCCCTCCGCCCCACACCCAGTTCCTCTGCCTCTCCGAGTTGTCACTGTGCACGTCTGGAAACAGCTGTCACGGCTGTCTGACAGAACACACAGACACACCAGTGGGGGAAGGAAGTGTTTAAAATTGCAGTAGGAATGCAAAAAAATATATAACCCTGTAAAAAAAGAAGCAAAGGCGGTGCACTAGAGTAGATGGTGAATTCAGAGACGGACTGCTCAAAGGCTGGAGACAGTGTCAGTAAAACATACTGTTCCCCCCAGTCATTATCTGCCCATCAGACAAGTGCGTAAACCACAGTTTAAGACATTAACAAAAAACAAAATCATTTAGCATTTTACAAAAAAAAAAAAGGTTGTGGGAACAATATGGAACAAGCTACCCAGCCATGTGGTTATACCCCGGCTTCTTTCAAGAAACAGCTGGATGAGATTCATGGGCCACTTATGAAACATTCTAGATGGCCTCCTCTCCTTTGTAACCTCTCTTCAACTCATTGTAGGTACAAAGAAATGCTCCAAGACGCCATAACTCATGACCTTGCAGTTTAATCCGTACCATTGCACCATGCCAGGATAACCAGTGTGGTCTTGTCAATTACAGAGCTATTTTAACCAAGCATATGCACTAGAATCTCCTGTATTTCAGTACCTCTGCTAGATTAGAAATGTTAACTTCAAATTTAATTGGTTTCACATCTTTCTTATATCCCCTCCCTTAATGGCTTTCCTCATCATTTCCTTTTCCTCCTATAACTGCTTCAATCATTCTCATTGTGATATTCATAAGTGATGCTTTTATCATCATGAACCACTTGTGGAAAGAAGTACAGATCAGAGCATTGATTTCATACCATTTAAAGTGCACCACAGCAGATGGCAAATTACAAGAAAGTACAAGCACATTTCTAAAAACTGTCATTCAACTGAATTTTATTGACAGACCCTTTGCTAACCACCACCAAAAAATAAAAAGTTGAATAGGCACTTGTCCACTACTGTCCAACCTTAAAAGCCCGCACTGGCTCAATCATACGTGCAGGGCTCTTCCCCAACTACAGCCCCTCGCCACTCACCTGCACTGGAAGGTGGAGTCCAGGTGACTCTGAATATTCCTCTGAAGCACTCGCACATCCTCTGAACAGAGGCACCAAGGAGGAACTCTTGGTGAAGGCAAAATAAAGAAAGCAATAGAAATGCTCCTCTCCTGAAGGGTCCTAATGGCAGCCCTCCCCAGCAGTACAGCAAAAACACTGTTAATGGGCACAGCAACTGAACCCTGCAAAGAGGGAGACTGACAAAACGGATGGCATTAGCACAAGCCCACAGTCAGCAATTCAGGCCACTGTTAAGCCCCTTGCTTTTGTGTCCCAAAGGATGGATTTAACAGGCGCTGCATGTGCCCCCCACCACCCCGCCTTGTTTTGGGCTTTACAAAACCCACAGAGCACACTACACTTGTCACTTTTGAAATAATGGGATGCCACAGTGGAAGCAATGGGTATACTGCAGAAACTGTAACATTTCCTCCAAATGGACAGAGGACACGCTAATATAAAACCCCTTCTGGCCAATATTTTAAAATTTGGAGCTTTCCCCAAGAGGCAGGAGTGGGGAAAAGGTGTAATACTAAAGGGTAGTCTCGGCAAAAAAAAAAAAAAATGCTCCTGAAAGCCCTGACAAAGTACAACAGCAACCTTGTGTAAATTAGGCCATGCTGCTGAGCAGTCGTTATACTGAAGCTGCATTAAATCACATTCCATCCATTGGTTTTAACAAGCACAATGTGGACCCAGTTCTTTCACTTTAAAAACGTGCATCTTAGAAAGCAAAACTGTGTAAATAGCATTCTTCCCCCTCCCTGTTAAATGAGCTGTTCTGTAAAATGAAAAAGCCTTAAAATGTAGTCCTCCACATAGCTTCAATATATACTGGAGCTGTAGCCTACAGAAAAGTGACATGGAAGTGATTGTCAATTGACTGCATCCCTGGTACACAAATGTAAGGCCTGACACTCCAATGGAGAGAAGTCTGAACTGCAGGGCATTAAGGACCACTTTGCAGCTCCTGCCCAATTCCACAAACTCATGAATACCTGTATGGTTCAGATCAAGGAAAGCCAACAGCACTCTTCTCAAAATCAGTCAAGTCAGACAAGAGTCTTTTGAATTGCTCTTTATTGAAAGGACAATCGTTGGTAGTGTTGAGGTAGACTGTTGCAATTCTAACACTGTAACTATCACATCCCCACTCACCTTGACAAGCATTTTGACCAAAGCTGAAAAAGAAGAACATTTGCTCTGTGGCACAGAACAGCAATAATCTCAGAGCTGATGCTTCTCAATGAGGAGCATGGGAACATTTTAAATATCCCTAACGCAATACTCTTCACATTGGGGGAGAGGAGCAATTGCTTTGCGACGTAATCCACATTAACAGGACCTTTTTTATATAGTTTTAAGGAGTAACTTCCATTTTAAAGATGGGTTCTAAATCTTCAAACATGGCAGAATTCAGCATCTCCAATACGTTAAGCATTAAGGCAGCCCTCAAGATTAATCAAGACAAAGCAGACAGAAGGCTGCACATCCACATAAAAACCAGGAGCATGCCCATGAATAGCTTGTGCTCTTTTGTTCCCCAATACCAGCAGAGCAAGATTAGGTACATTCCTGGAGTAATTCATTTCAGCTTTGGTATCTCCACCAAGCCCAATACAATAATTCAAAAAGAACACGTAGGCGAACAAAAATCCAAGAATTTGCACTGCAACTGTTCTCCACCCTCCTACTAGATTGTTAGTGCCAATATCTAAAATGGTCTATTGTTTGTTTTATGGCCTGGAGTGTTTTTTAAGATCAAGAATATTCTCTCAATTTAGGCTTGCCCACAGCAGTTTGAGGCTGCATGGAGTCACATTATCCTAGGTGACAGTCAGCTTGGCATGAAACTTGTTGCATCAGTTAGAAATTCACCTTCCTAAGTGCTCTGAACAAATGTTTAACAGATCTCCTTGCATGACTGCATTGGATCAATGCAAGCAAACAGCATTACAGAGTGAATCATAGCGCCACAAAGCACTCCATTCACTTTATGCAAGCAGAGGTTATCAAATGCTCTGTCACTGGAAAAAAGGGTCAAAGCAGGATGGAACTTGTTCATGAAGAGCCTTGCTTCCTTAAAATTATGCATTTTCTTTAACTAGGACATGAATGGACCCATTTTATTTCTAATGCAGTGACATTTACATTAGCAACCAATTAAATTACAAGCTTATTCAAGCAGTCTCCAAGAAGTGTATTCAAATTCATTTTTATAAAATTTCCCCATAACATACAGTCTTAGCATGCTCTGAAAAACAGGCCGTTCAAAACTTGCAGAGCAATTTTCATCCAAAATAGAAGATGAGAATTCAGAACATGGGTTTTTGGACAGTAATGTTACCAAGTTTCAGACCATAAGTAATCTTCAAGCTTCAGTTCTTATTCAAGTGCAAGAATGGCATGATGCTTGACAGTCTTTACATTGGTAAGATAGCATATTTCTGAAACTTGCATAGTTTTTAAACAGCTTTTTGGGGGTTAGTCACTATGGAAAGTGATCAATAGCACATTAGGTTCTCACTTGTTCCAAACTGCTAGTTTTTTTTTTTAATCTGAAATGTTCTAATTTTATTGCAAATGATACTGAGAAGGAATCGATACACCCAACGTATTCTGAAAGACCTATGAAAAATAGGTACTATAGCAGCAGGTTCCTTTTAGGTTTTGGGAAACAGATTTCCAGTATCAAGAACACAGAAGCAGCAGGGCTTGCTTGGCATTCTTGGTTCACACAAAGAGGCAGAGGTGTGAATGACTGAATTCTCATTTGAAGATCTTGCCCTGGTTGAAGGACCTGCCCACGTGTTTGAACTCGCCCTCCCAACACAAGTACTCCTTCACCAGCATCTTGGTTTCCTCATCGTCAGAATCCAGCTTCCTCCAGGTGTACGTCTCATAGTCAACCTTCCAGTCGTCACACAGCTGCAAAACAACGCCAGGGTGAGGGCCTCCGCACAGGGCCCATAGCACTTCCAACACTTGCTTTTCATTTTCAACATTTGGAAAGGCAATTCGTAGGACCAGGCTTCATGTCTGTGAGGGAACTCATTGGGAAGTGCTCAAAATTAGCAATTTGGGGGGAGGGGGTCTGGTAGAGATAACCAAGCGTCAACATTTGCCAGTTCTCCTTCATGCCAGAAGCACACAAGCAGATTTTCTCTGACCCTGGTGCTCATGTGCTCATTCAGCACTGTAGCCACAATCCAGCCTCTTACCAATGCACGGCCCCACCAGAGCTGTCTGAACTGAAGAGCCACAAAAGGACACAAAGAAAAATACAAGCATTTCCTATTCTTAGGAAGGTGTAGGATAGACTTCCTTGCTAATCACTTTCCTTTCCAAAAGAAAATTCCTACCAAAAAAAACAAGTGGGCCCTGGAGAGCCAAATCTTTTACAGGAGACTGAAGCATTTGAAAAACAAGGAACACTTATCCCCAGTCCTAAAGTACCACTGAGGCTTCCGTTTTCATTGGTCTTAACTTGAGAGGTCTTTAGCCATGAAATCCACAGGTCAGTGGCTATCCATGACCACGACTGACGACTGGTTAGTCCCATTAAAACCGGTTATCACCAGGAAAGCATTGTCCTAGTCCAAGATGGACCATCATCAGTTCCACCCACCTCAAATGCCAGATCCTGCCCCCGGAGAAGCCAGATGCCCGATATGGAGCTGTCTCCATCCTCACCAAACAGAGCCACACTGGCAAAGGCGTTTTTCCGCAGCCGGTCCAGACGCTGGAACATGCCTACAGAAGCAATAACCTTAGTGGACCTGCACAGGCCCAGCATAACGTGCACTACGTGGTTTGACCAAACAATACAGCAGTACTCCAAAATCTAACATGCCTCTACTTGAGCCAAGGTTAAACCATTGCTATCTAATGATCCTGCAAAACTAATCAAGGCTTCTACCTTCTTTCAATTTCCACATTAAATTTTAAGACTCCTATAAATGAGCTGTGCACATGGCTCAATACTCAGGTTATACTGGAGAGTACTGATGGAATAAGGCCAGGATTTGGAATGAATGGCTCCAAGTCACTAACAGGGACAATTAAAATTCCTTGCCTTTCATTCTGATAAAGTAAAAGGGGAGAATGTTCAAGGTCTACTGATCTGCCTATTACTCAGGTAGGTCATTTTCTTATTAGTGATTATGCCTAAAGTCATTTGACTCGCATTCATGCCGAGCTGTTTGAAAGCAATTATCTTGTGAAACAAAGCACAACTTTAACGGGGCACATACATCCACCATAGTAATGGCCATTAAAGGCACTTTTACCACAGATCTGCACATGCATATAACATTATACTAGAGTTGCAAATTTAATCTAGCCACTGTATGTGGCATCATCAGCTGTTCTAAAACCCAGCACTATGGCAAGGACTTCTGTACTTCATATCAAACCAAATCTACCATGCCCAACATGACACTACAACAGCTAAATATGGCAAGACTTTCATGGCGCCACTGCAAGGAACTCAAATTCACCATTTTGCCAAAACAACAAGACCATGCTGATTAAATCAAAGTTATATTTCTACTAAATACAACTGGCAGAGTACATTTTCAACTTCAAGGGCTTCCAGATAGCTCAGATGATAAAGGTACTGTCCAACACCAGTCTCCTCTGTATATTGTAATTGTGTATTCTTTTTATTTATTGTTGTTCTCATTCTGTAAAGGGCTTTGAGAAGCCACCTTTAAAAAGGCGCTATAAACTTTATTTTATATTATTAATAAAACCATTTTCCTTTACTGTAAAGACAGTAGGATTTTCTCCATCACCCAACCAGCAAGGAAAGAAGTCTAAAATGCAGCTCTTGCAGTGAGAAAGAAAAAAGTTTAGTCAGTGTCGTGGCCTCTCCAGTAGCCATGTCTAGTATGGTTTGACTAGCTGGCGGTGAAGAGCCACAATGATCTCTGCACCCTCGTCACCACGCCTGTCGATTTGCATTGCAACAGAGTGGTAATTAAAGTGCAGTACGAGATGTGAGCAACATCCACGCTGTACCCTTGTCCCCCCTGCCTCATCTACAGTTAGCAAACAAACACAGACATGCTTCATTTACAGCATAGTGCTGTTTCTCCCCTCTACAGTGGCCAAAAGGGAGCTCTTTCAATACAACAGCCAGGGCTTGCACCTTTCCTAAAAGGGACGTCTAAGAGATCCTAGCATATAAGAGTAGCCTGTGGTCTGGAAATTTAAATTGTACACAGGTATACATGGGAAGAAATAAGTTAAGACTCTGGAATAAACGTCACTGCCCCCTGGATAGGCTGTAAGGTGAAGAACAAAAAACACTTGTCGCAAAGCAGAAAACTCTGGACTTTTGGAACTGACATATTACACACCTGTGATGAGGTTACAGCTCATGAAGACCTGGCCCAGTTCACTGGCGTATCTGTACTCCGAGTACCACAGTGACCAGCCCTCTCGGTCAAAGTTCTCCCACAGGTAAGGAAGAGCCACAGTCATGGTGTCGTCATTGGAGTACTTGCGCTTGAACTCATCCAGAGCGAAGGTGCTGCAATACACGCAGATTCCCCAAGATACTCCAAAAAGGAAGGAAGTTGGCCATTTTTTACACCACTTTCCCCCCCTCAACAGCTAGAAAATGTGTCAGAATCCACCTTCAGCTTTTACAAATTATCAAAAAAAAGTGCTGGGAAAAGAATCACAAGTCTCATGAAGCAATGCAACAACCAATTAGCAGTATATGCAGAGTCTAAAAAAAAAAAAAATCACTGCTTTACAGACGAAGGCAGTCACACCTTTGAGGGCCAGTTTTACCAGAGTTTTTAGACTCTCCCGGATAGGCCTGGAGAATAGATTAATCAGCTGCACGTAAAAACCAAACCCTTGGAGAGCAGTTGGTTTAGATGGGTCCGATTTAAAATTCTTAACTTGGCTTTTAAAGACCTACGAACAATTTGGTGGTTGCCTAATAGTTCAGGAACTGAAATTAAGAAGTCAAGTTATCTTGAGGTCAGCCAGGGGTTCAGTTATGCTAATGACCTTGCCTGGAATAAAAGAACAGAAGGAGAGTTCTAGGTCCTCTATTGTAAGGAAAAAGAAGAGAAAATGGAAGCAAGTCCCTCTAACAAACAGGTGGAAGCCCTGCTCTTGTGCCTCCATACACAGGCAATAAACCAAACAAATTGGCTTTCAGAAACTCAGCTGTCAGGTTTTATACCTCTTAGGAAGGCTGGCGAACGGGTCTTTGGCCTTGGGTTCGGCTGCCATGGCCTCCTCTGTGGGATCGAGCGCGTCCTGCTCTGCCTCCTCCTTGGGAGGGTCATTCTTAGGAACCTTTTTGCCTGCGTGGAGAAAGCGGTCCATGATAAACCTGCCCTGTACAACCCGGAGGATCCTCAGATTTACAAAATCCCAGCTTGACCTCGTGTAAACTTCAGATACTAATAACTTGCCCTCCACTCTCTCAACCTAAAAATGTATTTTTTTAAAAAAAGAAAGCTCATAAAATCCATTTCTGAAGCTGTTGCAGAAGCTAATTTTGAAAAATTCCACATCAGGGAGATGGGAAAAAAAATCATATTTCTAGCATTTAATTCACCCCCCCCCCCACTATAGATCCTTTCACGTTTCAGGATCTGCCAGTACCATCTAAGCCCGAGTAAAAGCAACAGCTGGACGTTGCGTTTCCGAGCAGAGCATGACTAGCCAGCTGTGGCCCTACTTACCCACGCACTCAGCAGCCTTCTCACACAACTGGACCTCCCCAAGCACCTGGCTGAACTGGGGCTGCTGGACACAAGTGCAGAACCAGCGCGTCACACTGCCATAGCCTTCCCGCTGAGGCGGATCCAATACCTAACAGGTTGGAGAACAGGAGACTCTGTAAAAAATAAAACTTCAAGACTCTTGCAACCCAATGTTCAGTGGCTGCAATAGGTAGACATTCGCTCCCCCATCTCCCCCATCTTGCTTGTCAATAACCATTTTATCCAAGGATCTCAACCAGCTGGGTCTTGAACAGAGAAAGTTTCTTTCAAGACCAAGATCCAGTTCTCGGTTGAGGACTCTGCCCCCAGAAGTCCCCCAGAGTGACAGCAGCAATCTTTTGTAACAGTAACCAGAACTATTTAAAGAACTGCATACAAGGTCTTACGCACTAGATGAGATGTACATTTGTTTCGACCTCAAAGCTACCTCTACTACAGGCAAATCTTAAACCTTATGCACGAGTTCTAGTGGTTAACAGTCACATGTGGTGAAGAACAGTGAAATCAGGGCTTTGGCAAATATTACAAGCAAGAGGAAATTCACAAAGCAGGAGCTCATTTGGAGAATAACATATTCAAATTGGTCCTTAATTGAACTGAAGTTTGATTTGAGTAAGTGAATACTAGGGTCACCCGACCTGTGTGTAGGCAAGAAGCAGGGCACACACAACAGAGATGTCTGCCAGGGTCACCCTCTCCCCCACTAGGAACGTGTGGGTCTTCAGGTGCTCTTCCAGCACTGACAACACTCCCTGGAGATGTTCTCTGGCACGCTCAGTGGCCTGTTGCAACAGACAAAAATATTTTACGGTACATTATGGATTAAAACTTACTTGCACTTGGTTTGTACAACTTTAAAGTATGGGCTGCTGGTTCATGTACAAAATGCAGTAAGGCTCAGACACCTAGGTGACAGCAGGCTGAAATTTAATTCTTTCCATCAAAACTCCACTACACAACCACTCCCTCTCTCTCACCTTAACTCAATACTTCACCAAATGGACTTGTTTTCATCAAGGAATAAAGACTTCCCTTTTGAATTAAATGTTATGAGCTGAGAGGAAAAATGTAGACACCACCCTACCCCCCACACCAGCTCTAACCTGCTTGTTGTAGTCTGCAGCACCCAGAGTTGGGTAGACCCAGGTGGCAACAGAGGGCACAATCTCACTGTTGGCAAAGTTCACCCATTGCTGCACCAAAGCACTATCTTGAAGACAGGATCCTCGTAAACTTTCAGGGGACACTGAAAAGATGGTTAAGAACACATTAAAATATTCAATTACATCCCAGATCAGTCAAAGGGCACAAAAACCATGAAGTTAAAGCAGCATGAGACTGGATCCCAGTATTCTGAGAAACACTAATTCACTATCAAAAAAAGTGAAAGCCCTATGCTGTGGTGAAAACTGAAACAGCCCACCTCCCCCCAACACAACAAAATCCAGCTCTGATCAACAGAACCTTTTCTCCTCATCCTTTAGTCCTCCACCAGTGAAGCCTACTGTGAAATCAGAAGTCTGGTGTAGAATACTGCCCTTTGAAGTACTGAGCATAACTACAGTAGACTGTAGGTAATGATTCCCATTATCCTTTAAGATGAAGGAACAGTGCTGAGGGGGGTCAAAAGGAAGCACAGGATCTGACAAATCGGAGGTCTTAATGTTAGGACTTCTCCCAGAGGCTGCTGGGATCAACATCAATAGAGGCCAGAATGACAACACCCACCGTGAACCAGGCTACAGGGGGACACAATCACTTAGCTTACAATTGTACAGAGAAAGTCTGGTCCTTCTCGGCAAAGGGCAGGAGTTGGGTACTGAACCAAAGTAGACTGATGTCTATGGGACCACATTGTTTGTTCCTATAATATTCAGTTTTCATGGACTGGCAGTCAAAACTGGTGCCTACATGTAAGTTTCTTAAAGGTAACAAGCACCTTGCATTATTTAATGCATTTGTTTTGTATTTCTAACAGTTTCAACTTTGGCCTGAGCTTCAAACAGGAGAAAAGGGGGTTAACACCATTAATACAGGAAGGTCTCCAACGCCTAAGGCAATTTTAAAAAACATAAAACCTAGTAAGGGAGTTAACAGCTTTGCCATTTCCACCCCATCATTTTCTGCTATTTTACTTGACAGGATTGCAAATGCTTGGCCTTCCTCCCCTTTTAATCAATGGTCTTGAGCTGCCGAGGAGTTCTACACATTCAAGAGATTTAAAACAAGTGGGAGGAAAGTCAAGTTCACATCTTCCTTCTAAAGGAAAGGTAGCTTTTGAGCAAAATGGGGATGAACAGGTTGAGTGACTGCATAAGAATGCAACATTGACATTTCCAATGGGCACAAGCATCACAACCAGATTACATAGGGGTTTACAGTTTAATACTCAAACTGCATACCAATTAGATTACAGGCGTTTCTACATTTAAAGATGGTAGCACTCCATGGTTAATTCCTTACTAGAGGAAACCTTAGTAGGCTAAACAGGAAGTTCACATACTCAAGCTATTACAGCCAGAAATGCCTCCTGCCATTTCTTAAAGTAAACTTCTAAAACAGACTAGTAAAAATGTACTGGAATGCAATCAACCGAGTGGTCTCGAGACAAGCAGTTAAGGATTAAAAACGGCACAATTTGTGCTTTGAGACTTGAACACAAAACTTGAGCTCTGACCACACAGCTAGTTCTGTCCAAGAAGAGAAATATTCTATTAATAATCTTCTTCCGTTAAACTTGAGACGACAATGGCATTCTCCTGCAAAGGAATGGAAGGGTTTGGTGAAGTGTTTGCCTGGAGATTAGAGCAGGGAGGAGGCTCATGGTGAAACAGGCTCAGAGTCAAGGTGTGGCTCTATCATAAACAGGACATCCTAATCAGAGAGGAGTTTCCTGTGGCTGGACAGGCAGGACAGCTGACACACCCACCCTGGCCTGCATGTACAAAATCGGGTATTGGACACCGACAGGCCGTGGCCAACCTAACTGGCCAAGGACAAGCAGGATAAGGAACTGCTGTTTATCTAGGAAACAGGAGCTGTAACAGAATCAACCCTACATGACTCAGAAGTAAGTGATGCACATTTTAAATGTACTGCACCACACACAGTGGACCAGTGATTAAGTGGTGGGCTGCGATAATGCCATCTCTTCAGACAAATTAAATAGCCCTGCTCTTGGTCACCTCAACAGGTGAAGCTTATTTCCCCCCTAAGCCTATTGCACCTTATGAAAGAGCTCAGCACTACAGTTTATCTTTTCTATTACCTCTGGGTAAAAAAAAAACCTGTGGCATGGCGAGAATCTTTGCAAGAGACGGGGTGAAGTTCAACAGGAAAAGAGCTAAGAAAATGTCCACCCTGGATACAGTTCCACTGTGATTAAGCAATGCCCTTTTTTGTGCAGTTGCCAAATTCACCTCCCTACCTTAAACTTAAAATGCAGTTCAACCACTATTTGGATTTGAAACCAAGCTGGTCAGGAAGACTTTCAGGACAAGGAAGAGTCTGCTTTTTTATGAGGACTCTTCAGCACAGTGACCCCATCTGACTGCTGCTTGTAACTTCCGAAACCTTTCATAAGGGCCATTTTAAAAATTACATGCATTTCTGAATTCCCTGCAGTGTCACCCCCCCACCCAACCAATTTTCCACAAAAAAAAAAAGAGACTGTGGAAGGGCCAGAAGTCTACAGAAAACCCTTCAGTGTGAAGAATTAGCATAAAACATAACTGCTTTTTCAGCTAAACTGCACCTTCATTAAGGAAATATACATACTCCAAGCAAGGGAAAGTGTTTTTAACTGAGACAAAAACAATCAGAAATGGTGGTTAAATAAGGGATTTAAGTTCCAACCACTTAAAACTGGATAGTGTTGCTCGTTAGACTAGATATTTGAAGAGGCAATTTCTGTTTAGTACATAGGGACGTTTGTCAAGCCAATTTCAAGAAGGGGTACCAAGGCATATTAAGAGTTAAACAAGGGATTTTAAAAGTACAAACCCAGGCAGACTAAGCAGAGAGGCATCAAGTGCCAGAAGAAATGAGAAAAATGTTGCAGAAGAGAGTAAGTTGTCTATTGACTGGATGTGCAAAGTACATTATGGCAGGTAGTCCCGAGAGCTGCTGAGCAAGACCAACTGTGGTATTAAAGCATTCCAATGTTTTGCAAGTAAAAAACAATCTGTACAACAGGGACTTTCACCATTAAAACCCAATGTCATATATACTGCCCTCTAGTGTTAAGCAGGAGTATATACAAGATTGATTTATCCCAGGTTAAAGAAAACCTTCTTGCACCATTTGTTTAATCCCTTAAGCACATTAATCATGATACAAAAGTAGATGACTAAATAACCAATTCATCTGCTTAAGAGATGTCAATTCATGGACCCCCAAAATGCTTTTAGCCACCCAGACGTGATGTCAGTGGAGATCTGGACTTCCCTGCATTTTTTTCCGGTTAACCTTTCAAAGTATCCTCATCTAGAGAAGACAGGGCTTTAGACTGTGGTTAACCAGTTTGTGACTGTTGCTTTATGCAAACTGTCCCCTTTTTCTTCCACATCACAGGGTACACTCAGGGTGAGCTAGCGGGGGCGTTCCTGAAACTGGGGAGCAGCTTTTTCCATGCAACAGTCCCATGTGCATACCGGCAAAGGACACTACAAACAAGAACCACTCAAATATGGAAAGCAGTGTATCGAGGTAACATGCATTCATAGTCTGAAATTGCAAACCATTTACCATAGTGAGCAATAGCAGTGCCCTCATTAATCTGAAAACCATCTTCACCTTCAAAAACTGGGACCTGTGTCAGGAAAAAAAAAAGAGTCACTTACAGGAGTACCATCCAAAAGCAATCAGGACAAACTGATTAAGCCCTGAAAAAAAAGCTACTGCAGAGAAAACCTTCAATCAATTAAAAAAAAAACTGGTGTGCTCTTCAGTTTGAGTATTTACAGAGGCTGTAAAGGTAAACCTCACGAGTGATAAAATCAAATGTAGAACCTATAGGTACATCTGTCTTAAAATTAAGATTCAGTAGTTTTAGCTTTCTTGAAGGCTCTAGAACATTAAAAGCACAAAAGGAACAGTTTTCCCATTCCAATTTTAATCTAAAAAAAAGAGAGACTGAACAAGCACATCCAATCTTACCTTTCCAAATGGAAACCTGGATAAAAAGGCATCTGATTCCAAGGGCTCCGAGACTATGTTAATCTGTACCCCACTGTACTGGGCAGCAATCAGCGCAGGGTAAGACCTCCAGTAATTGGGATATGTGTAAAGAGTCTGCCGAAACAAAACTTTAAACAGCAACTGCCAACATACAGATGAAGATGAACAGTGTTATTCCACAGCCAAACTGCGTTTACTGTTCGACAGGACCCTCTACCCAGTTTCAACTGTGGGTTCTGTAGAACAACAGGAAACATTACAGTGGTTTCTTAGACCCCAATAAGCACAGGTCTTTGATTGTGGTTATGTCAATGGTTCCTACTCCCCAGCACAGAAGGAACACCTTTTGGCTCATCCAGGATTAGCTCTAGACCTCCAGCGCTAATGGAGGACCAAGCTGCTTCCTTGTTTAGACTTTATTTCCATCTTCAGTCAGTCCCACATATCAAGAAATCAAGTGCTGGAACTGGTAATTGGTGGATGTTAGTTACAAACACACAGCACAGAATCAATAAAGAACTTAAATGATTAAAAAAAAGACTGCCTTCCTCCAGGACCAGGGTTGGGAACTACTGGTTTAAAGTGAACGATGCAGGTCTTATTGGCAAAACCAGTCCATAGTAACTGCTCTTAGTGTCCAGTGACATTTGTAGACCACTCTAGTGCTCAAAATATAATACTTTGGTGTAAATTAAACCTTGACAGTTAATTGGTTTTTAAAGTCGCAAAATATCGAAGGATGCCCTTTAACCATCAGATTTAAGGAGAATCACTTAGGAAATAACTGCTAAGGGACCAATAAAGCAACTTGTTAGTTCAGTTAAGACATTTACCTCAAAACAATTAAGGGTTGTAAGGAGTCCCAGTACCAGGGTTAGTCACCTCTGCTTTAAATAAAAAAAACTCAGCATTTTCTTCCAGCAAGAATTCTAAAATAGTTGAAACCATTGGTATTGCGAGACTAACCACCTCCTCCAGCTCTGACGTACGACATGCAACACCGCAGTTCGCCAGTGGTGACCCTAAAATGCTGACCCTCAGTGAAACTAATGGCTTTCGGCTTCCCAGTTGTCACGGTTTTGGATTTGATCTGTTGAGCTAAAACAACAGCCCGATTCAATATTGTTTAATCCAGGGGGATAATTTGTTTCGGGCAGAAACCAACATAACCATCACTAACAGCTCCGGAAAGCTTTTCAGGAGATGAACTGGATGTGTGCCAATTCTGTTTTACTCGGAGCTTTAGATCTGAATGACATTGTAACGCTTCTGGTTCAGGCATTTTAAACTGTTCCAATTGCTTTCCACAAGATGGCATAAGCAGTGAAGAGCTAGAGGTTCACTGCATACTGAAAAATGTGAAGATTGAAATTCAACTGAGGAGCGCTCCAAATCTGAAACGCTGCGCTCCGGGTTTGAGAGGAGCCGGCGCACCGCCCTACTTGTAACCAAAGGTAAACCAAACCTGTAGCACCTTCACAAAGAAAGCCCGTTGCCCATTACTTGGAGCTTGAATGTTAAATCGGCTGGAAAGTGCAAGCACAATGTCGGACAACAGCTGCCCACCAGCTGCCTCGCTTCCAGAGCTTACAGACAGTTCTGTCTCCACCCTTGCGCTAATTTGCTACTTTAACGTTTAAAACAAAATAAAAAAAAACACACTGTGCGTAAACATACCCTTTCTAGGCTTCCTCCTTCAAGATGCAACAAGCAAAGCTGAAACCGGGTTATAAATCACTGCATTTCACTTAAAACTGTAACTCTCTATCTGAGCTGGCAAACGCCTCCACCTACCGCCATTTTCCACCAGCGCAGACAGCCGTAAACCAGCCCGCTCCTGCATTCCCTGCAAACACACACTGGGAGCGACTGTCGCGAATAAATGCCCGATGGAATAGGAGGGGCTTATAACTGAATTCATGGCCGGTTCAGAGCTACAAATAAAAGAGTCTAGAGCACATAAAAAAGTCTGAAGACGAAATATATCAAATCTAGATTAAGATTTAAATGGTTAAAATAAACAATAATTGTTGGATGCACGGCTTTTTATATTGGGCATCATTTTGAAAAGTCTGAAATCGTTAATTGCTACTTGTTGTGATTGCGTGTAAATTCCTCCTCATTTCACCGTTTGACGTGAAGACGGGAGAAATAGCTATATATTTTTTCTCCTTTAAAGGAAAACACAGGAAAACGAGAACGAATCAAATCTTTATTTTGAAGTTATTTCTGTAAGCAACGTCTAGGATACCTTTATCGCTTTTTTTTAAAGCACTTTCCTATTTCATTTGATACTGGGAGATGTGCAACAAAGCAAAAAGGTTATGGGAGTAATATTCGACTCTCCAAGTGCCCACGGTTAGAACTACTTCTGTGCGGAAGAGAGCGTGCTCTGGTCCCCACGAAACCTCACATCGTGAGATGAACTTCGCGGAGGGTTGCTATGGCAACTGCCTCCATCCAAAGTCTACTGAAGTCACGAAGATGACCTAGAAAAAAAAATACTGGGTAATCGTTTTTACGCATCGGCGGAATCTGACTGGCACACGCTGTACAATGATTCATTCGCCTAGAAAAAAAAAACAGAGGTCTATAGTTCTGTACTGCAAATCTTTTTTTTTTTAATTAGCGGGTATAACAATAGGATGTATAAATATACTTGGTCTGTTGCCTGAATATGGATACCATTTATGGTCAAGGCATTCCAAACCACCGCGCTTTGTGTTTTTCATGCTTCGTCTTCCTGCGAGGAGACGGGCTGTGATGCTATTATGCTGAGCGTGTGGGATGGAAGTTAACTACCTGGACCCAGTACATTCACGCACGCCACTGCTGCAGCTATGCGTAATTCTCCAAAGCTGGCCAAACCGCGCCGCCCCGAGACTCCAGTGAGATCACAGGCGCAGACGGCGACAACAATAATCACATCGCCGTGCCATCGCGCCTGCTTCAGCGGGGAGATTAATCGCGGATGCGGCGAGCAGCCGTGGCTCTGGCATTTGGAAAGGCAGAAAAAATAGCAGAAAACGATCATCAAAATATATGACGAGTCAGGAGGGAGAACGACGGATTCAAGGTGAAACCCGGATGGCACAGAGACGCGCTTAGTTCGGTGCTGGCAGAGCAGTGTAGAATCGGGGGCAAGGTGAGCGCAGAACAGAATCCGAACCGCCGGCAATGTACGAGATAACATCTCTTATAATGAAATGCGGCTGATGAACGACATTTTTTTTTAGAATTTCGATATATTCGGGTTTAATTCTGATTAATTTGTGTGCGCTATGGTCTCGCTGTGAAGACATCGAACAACGTCTGAGAAACTGTATAAATCGCAAATGCTTAAAATATCATTTTTTTTTGTTCCAGAAAATTCAATCGAATTATATATATATAAAAATGTATCATGATTTGTATAATGTGTCATCTTAATGTGGTAGTGCACAATTCCTTAGTCTACAGCCTATTTTTTCCAGAATTCCGTTTTTCGGCTAAGTTTGCTACTATTATGAAAATAACTTGCTTATATCCGAATGCGGTCGCGTACAGTACGTGTTATTATTTTTGGTCGTGGTGACACGAACCATCTGAAAAAAAAATCGATTTTTAAAAAATTACTCCTGAGTAAAATAACGAAACACGACACTTATTACTGTATTAAAACGTTTATTTGAAGAGATTGTACATACTTTTATTTAGAGCGTCTTGATTATATTAAAGAACGAGGGATCTGCATTTGATGTATATGCCGCATCTTAAAATGTCGAATTTGTTTTAGACAACACATTCATATTTCTAATGCATTATATTAAGGATTTAATAGCCTAACTGTATTTACACCATGAGGTGTAACTATGTGATGAAATGTGTATTTGTTGGAATATAGATTACCATCTAAAGTGTGGGTTATACTTCAGCACTGTGTTTAGAAGGCAGCTCGTCTAGTTTTATAACTGACTCAAACGTTTTTTTTAATTCTATATAATTATCTGGAAAAAAAAGCTCTCTCTTTAGCACTGCGTGTTTTTTTTTTAAGAGGAATGCTTGGTGTATGATTCATCTGAAATGTATAATACGTCCTGCTTAAAGAAATGACAAGCTGTCAACAGATATCTATCCAGTGAGAGGTGTGCTGTGGAAGACTGAGAGAGGGCTCTTGAAACCTTTGAAGTCTGTGACTGTCTAGCTTTCCTGTGCTGGACTGCAGTCGGGGGTCAGGCAGGCACCTGGCTGGAATTCACACGCTATAGATGTATCTTCAGTGCTCAAGCTTTTAAAATAAGTGCCTCTTTATAAGTAACACATAGACAGTAGATTCATAGTGTGGTCTGGAAACACGGGCAATGCGTTTTTAAAAGACACTTCATTTGCAGTGACCATTAATGCATTTAATTACTCATCCCATTTTGTTTGTACAATACGGAAGTCCAATGCACTTACAACAGTTTTTTTTTTTTGCATCCAGGCTCCAGTTAAGGATATTTGGCATGCGAAGAACTGGACAGAGATCTCCGCTACATTTTAGTGAAAGACATGAAGCCACTCATCCGCCGCATTGGGGAATATTTCCCAGCCCTGTGAGGAAGGAATGTGTCTCACGCTGCGGTTACAGGGAAGCGTTCTGAAAAGGCAAGACTAGAAAAGGTCTCTTTCCTACGACTCCCACGCTGGCTTTCTGCCTTTAGAATTGGCTCTACTGCCACGGCTGCAGGGCAGTGTCCAATGAACCTTTTTTTCTTGGCCTTCTCTGCTCCTCTGAGCTGACAGAAATGCTACAGCAAAACAACAACAACAACTACTCGTGCCTGGAGAGGGGCCGCGGCAGCAGCAGCAGGAAGATCATCTCGGAAGCTGGGGCCGAAGGCGGCGGCCCGCCGTTCACCAGCCTCCTGCAGGTCGCCTCCTTCCAGGAGTTCCGCGGCACGGCGCGCCCGGCACCGAAAACCAAGGGCTTCAGGAGCTGGGCGGTCAGCAGCGTCTGCGCCAAAGGCAGGAAGAGGGCCGCCGCTCCCAAGAGCGATCACCGGCCTTGTCCCCAAGGAGCCGATGGGGCCACTGTGAGCAAAACCAGACCGGGGAACGGCACTCCTGCCGGCGCCAACGCCAACACCAGCTCTCGGCTGAGAAAATGCGGCGGCAGGCCGGCTCAAGTGAAGAGCAGCTTCAGTCTGGGGGTACAAATTAACGCAGCGACGGGCATATGCTGGAGAAGCCCGAGAAGCAGAGCTAGCAATGTGGGATCATTGGTAACCGTGGCAACTTTGAAAGCCTCTGAAGGCAGCAAAACACAGACCCAGTGCTTTTTCCTGCAGTCTGACGCTAAGAGCTACTGCTGCGCAACCAGGAGTCATTACAAGAGGCCTTCTCCATATATCGGCTCTGAATTCTCCACCCAGACGCGAGGGAAATCTGTTTTTGTAGGCGGGGGAAGGCCAGGAGGCTCAATGACAGGGGAAGCCAGTTACTCTGGGATGGAGCGCCGTGCGGATGGCGTGGCAGAAAGGGCAGTGAGAGTGGGCAGCAAACAGGGCAATCGCGCAGGACAGGAAGGGCCAGCTTTGGATGTTGTGACCATTGACCTGAGCCCGGTCCCAAAAGGGGATGAACCCCGAGAGTCCCTTCCCTCCGAAGAGAAGGAAGCAGGGGACCAGGGGGAAGAGAACGAGCCAGGAAAAGGAGAAGGGAAACGGGAAACCTGCACCGTACCAAAGTTCCCAGAGGCGGAGGGACGGGAGAACACAGGCGCGGAGAAAGATGGGAGAGACTGCCCATCGACCCCAGGCCAGGTTCAAATGTTGGTGCAGAACTGTGCTGTTCAAAGGGGATCAGAATGCCCAGGAAGCAGGAATCAAAAGAGACCTCCAGTGGGAATGAGGAGGGCTGTCTCAAAGGAGCACAATCACATGTCTCGGCTCTTCAGGGAAGAGGAGGCCTCTGTGGTACCTCAGTCTCAGCCACACCATCACTGCTGCTCTCTCTCAGAGTGCTCCAGGCCCAGAGGTAATGTCAGCGGCCCAGAGAACGCTGCCAAGCAAGATGTACAGAGTGAACATGAACCAAACTCTTCACTCGCCAGACTTGCAAAACTAACCCTTGATGATGATAAAGACACAAACCAGGACACCGGAGATTTCAAAGGCAAAGTTACGGTAACTCTTTGCGACCGGAAAGAGGACTGGCAAGAGAAAGATGATACAAGCCAGAATGTCTCCCTTATCCAGCACAATCAAGACGGTTCTCCTTGGGATCTGGAAGAACCTGAAAGCCGGAATCCCAGGGGTCTCAGTGAGAAACTTCACAGTGAGTCTGTTGGTAATGACCGAGTGATGGGGACCTCAGACCACACAGGGAGAGGGCTGGATGACCCATGGGAGCAGCAGAGCTCTCCTGATGATGGTCTAGCCAGGCCTTTCTGCCGGTCCTGCTCTGCAGTCCTCCGGGAGCAGCCACAGATCACTTGTGCTGATGACCCTGAGCTTCGTAGGGGCAATTCAGGCTCCGACCAGACAACACAATTTGTGACGTCAGACTCCATAAAGGAATGGCTCGAAGGTGCTGAGGATTTCTCCAGATCTAAGGCCGAGGATAGCCCCGGACCAGTGGAAATGACTGGGAACACTGGAATGGGCAGTTCTGGCAGTCCCAGGTGTGAAAGCAAAAGACGTGTCGAAAGCAGTCATGATGGAAAATGGAGGGAATGCTGGAGAGAAAAGGCAAAAACGTCAGAGAAGGTGTCCCTGCCAAAAGATAATGCTTACAACAGTAACAAGGCTGTAAGCCACACAACAACTGACACACGTGAGAGAACTAACAATGACGGGAATGAGACGGGCCTGAATTCCCAAGAGGGAACCTTGAAACAGAGGGCTCTGGTAACAGACTTTAGTGAAGGAACAGACCGTGGATGCAGAAGTGCAGGGAACGCCGAGCCTGGGGAAGCAGACTCTGCCTGCTTTTCTGTGTGTGCCAATTCCCCCTCAAGAGGCCCTGGGACTGCAGCAGCAGCACGAGCCCCAGCCGGGCCTAATCCATCAGCGCCGGTAACCATGGTGACCCTCTCAGCCCAGGAGAGATCCCTGCCTGAGGTTGAAGGTCGCCTGCTTCCCCAGCACTCGATGGGAGAGCCCCACGGTCACAGAAGCACAGCGGCTAATGAGAGGGGAAGCCCCGATATCGAACAAGGCGCCGGAGATGACGAGTTTGGCGTTTTTGTGCAGGCAGGGGAGCCTTTCTCCTGGGACGACAGCTTCACTGACTTTCGCCAAGTGCCTTGTGGACTGAGGGAGAGCAATGGTAAGTCCTGTCTGACTCTGCAGCAGGAAGGCTGGGAGCTGGGAGCACTGGTGATTCCTAGGTCAGGTGATGCAGTAGTGACTCAGACTCAGAATCAGCTGAAAGACAAGACACTGTCAGGTATTGGGCATGCAGACTATCAGACTGACACCTCTTCTTCACCTGCTCTTGTCCTGTCAAGGGAGACACTTTCAATATGTGAAGGAAAATCCTTCATGTTTTATAACTGAAAAGAAGTGCTTTAGAACTATAATCAGGGACAAGGCCCTGAGACCCCCGAGAACCCCCGAGAACCCCCGAGATTTACTGTAAAATCACAGTAGAGATACATTACTTTTCTTAGAAAACAAGATTTAGGAGGAAAGATGGATAATTTCAGATTGATCATCCTGTAGCTCGTGACAGAAGAATCCAGCCTAGGTACGTCCTACTGAGATTTTCCAAGTGCTGCATTTTAAACACCCTTTCGTGTTTTTATGTGATGAAGCAAAGAGTATGCACTGCAACAGTCCTGGGTATTACACCCAGCAAAAGGGGAAGAATGAAAGGAAGGATAGATCAATAGAGCTGCATGCAATCCTGCACCAATAATTAATTAAAAAGTGTTGTTTGGCCTGACCTAAATCTGCTGTCTAAAAACTGTGATCTGATACAGCGCTGATGTTGTTACATTTATTATTTAAAGGCCTGCTGGGAGACTCTGAATCTATGATGATGAGCATTTCCTGGCTCTGTAACCCTACAGCAGGCCTTTCTCAGAGGAGAGCATTACAGAGGCAGGAAAACCAGACAGGGAACATCAGGGAAGACAAACAGTGGACACAGCACGTGTGTCTCCCTGTTCAGCACAGCCCAGGGTTTGAAAGGGAGCTCTGTCCCATTCCCTGAAAAACCTGCACATTTAGAATCAGAGCCTAGACATGCGTACATCAGGAGCTTCTGTTGATCTTCTACATCAGTGTTTACCCAGCTGCTTCTGCTGCTAATCCCCTCTCAGTGCTTTTTTGATCTAACCAGACCTAATTATGAAAAGCAATTTTTAATGTTCTGGGATCTATAAATTATTCATTTTTCAGCAACACCAGTCTTCATGTTTTTTAGAATACATATTTTTTTCTAAGAAATATAGAAAGTTAAGCCTGGCAGGTCAATAAGTACTGAAGTATGGGAAAAATTTGAATAATTTTCTAAGTATACTAGAGTTTTCTCAATCTGTCTACTAAAAGTGGTTCTCACTGCGGGTGATGGAGAACTGAAGCCCTGCAGGTTTTGTAGACACTATTAAGACAGTTCAGTGGTGGAAAGAGAGGCTGTTTAAACCAATGACATCAATAACTGATGCAGCCGAGCGGCCGAGAAGTTAGGCTGAGTGAAACCCAGAAAGCAGTGTTCCTCTCCAGCAAGAGCTGCCCGTGTCACTCCTCTTATGGTGCTGTCAGCTGTACAGCTAACCTGCAGACAATTTACTGTATACAAGCGCATGCAAACAAAAGAACAAAGAACCCAAGGACAATCTCACCCCTGTAGTGCCCCCTGCTGGCAGATTTTAGGCACGGCAGGTTTTGCAAATAGCTTTTTTTGCATTTGAGTATATTACATGAAGTGGTCGCTAACACATGCATTGTCAAATTCATAAAGTGAAAGCATTTTCGGGTGCACATATAGGAACATATTTTCAGATGTAAACTGATAAGGTTAGCGAAATGTACTTACTGTAAATAAAAATTCAGAAGAGCATTGTAGAAATGGAATTGCAGTCACCAGTCTTCCAGTGTCTGGTCAGTGTGCTCAATGGAAAGGGCTGCAACATGTGACATTTAAAGCTACTGGGAGAAAAGAATTTCAGGCCACACAGCGACAGGAATTATGTGATTCTTCCTCCTGATTCTCCCCTTGATTCTCCAGATGTGATTAACTGAATGCAAAGAAATCAAATATTAACTCATGAGCCCTTACCTGCGCAATTAGCAGACCTGAGCAGTTAAGGCCGTAGTTGAAGATGTTCAAGTAGGGAGCTACGTCAGCCAGCGCAAGCTGCAAAGGAACAGGTAAAGGTTTATTCCATGCTGAAACGAAAAGAAAAGAAAGCGGTTGAGCCTTCTTGTTCCAAAACATTGTGTGTTTTTCATTTTCTTTTCACCACAGAGTAAATCTTTACCTGTTCCAAAGCAGTAGTTATGCTAGAACAACGCCTCTGGTTGTAAGTCATCTTCATGCTGCTCACTTCTGTAGTGTTTGCCCTGCCTGTAGCTCAGATTCATTGAGGTGACCAAAGCCACAGTTATCAGATTAGATGCATTAGAACAAACAATGCTACAGTTTTAGCTATAGGTTTTGGTTCATTACGTGAATAACAATATGACCATCAGTTGTGCAATAATGTTAGTAACCATTTACACATTGGAATCTCCATTGCATCCTAGGATTATCTGGCTTTTATTTCTTCCTGTTTCTGTTCATTCTGTTCCTGTGGATAGGAGGTGCGAGAGTCCATCTCTATATCACCCTGCAACCCACAGCTCACAGCTCAGAGTTGGCAGCCCACTGAAGCTTAGCAGGTGTGAGCCTGGCCAGTACCTGGCTGGGAGACCTCCTGGGAAAGCTGAGGTTACTGTTGGAAAGGGTGTTAGTGGACCAGTAGGACCAGTAGGTGGCGCCCACCCTGTGGTCTGTGTGTGTCCTAATGACCCAGTAAAGTGATGGGGACGCTATACTGTAAAAAAATAAAAAGGCGCTATCCTTTAGATGAGATGTAAAACTAAGGTCTGACTGTAGTTGGTTATTAAAAATTCCTGGGGCGTTTCTCGAAAAGAGTAGGGGTGTGAATCGTGGATTCGAGACCAAATTTCCCCCTTGGTTTTTAATAATCCCCTTCTCTGAACTGGCTTCATCACTCTGTTCTCCTCCCACTGAGAGCTGGTGTGTGGGGAGAGGACTGGTGCACTCTGGCTGCTGTCACATCACCCAGGTGGGGCTGCACACTGGTGGTGGTGGAGGGGATCCCCATTACCTGTAAAGCACTTTGAGTGGAGTGTCCAGAAAAGCACTAAATAAGTGTAAGGATTATTATTAGGGCGATGTAATGATTATTATGAAGTCTGTGCCATGCCTCCGGCTTGGCTGCCCACTCTCTTCATGTTTCAGAGGAGGTGTGGACGGCGTTTCCACAAGAGGGCAGCGATGGGCAGAACGCAGGGGAGGAGAAATGGCCGCCGTCCGGCCCAGCGGGGCAGTGGTGGCACGACAGCGCTCTGGAGGAACCCAGAAGCACCCCGCTGGACCTGGTACGCTACCCACAAGCATACATCTCAGCGAATCCTATCTTGATTTCTGTTTTCTGGGTGGTGCTGCAGACCAGCGCCTTCAAAAAGAAACCTGTATGAGCTGATTTTGATTCCCTGTTTACTTAGAGTCTGGTGATCTCTGTTCCGCTTTCCAATTCAAACCGCATGAAATTTAAATATGAATGGACTAAATCAGCTTCAAGAGGAAGCCAGTCGTTTGCAGAAATAAAGTAAATGTCTGTTAGATGTTATTTGTTAACAAGCATGCAGCTCGATTTCTATCGTACTGTGGCATTTCTTATTACCTGTGTTCTGCAGAGGCCAATGACATCACACAGCACTGGGTTTGTGCCTGCTCCATTTTGTGCTTGGTATTGTGTTGGTGTCCCTTAGTGACAAGGCGAAGAGCGCATCTTAAAAAAGTAAACAGTGACAAACAAGGGAAGTTACAGCACAGCCTCCTGTGTGTATGTTCACTGCATGATTCTTTCTATCCAGGCTGCTTTGTTCCGGGAGTCTTTTCCCAGCACAGGATCTTCCTTCTGCGAGGCAGAGCATGTCCCTACGCTGCATCAGCTCCTGCAGAGAAAGCCTGGAGATAAAGATGCAACTGGGGAAGAAAGGTGAGAGAGAGAGAAAGCTGCTCGTAGTCTAGTTTAACAGAGCCTGTGTGTGTTGTATGTCATGGAAGCATCCAGTGTGTCATCACAGATCTGGATCTCAAGGAAAAGCATACCTTGGTGGTTCTGCACACTCATTGTGCACAGCAAATATTTTGCCAGTTGTTTTTGTGCGGGACACTAGGGAATCCCCTCTTTGTGTCTGAAATAAGATAGCAGGGGAGTGCAGGAATTGATTTTTCCTCTCACGTTTTCACAGGTGCTTGCTGGAGGGGCTTCAGGATGTGAATGAGATGATTGGCTTCAGAATCAAATGGGCAGAGTCGGTCTCTCAGACACTCCTCCTGCATTCTCTCCGTATCGACCCAGACAGCAGGGTGAGTGCACCAGGGCTCGGCTGTTTGCACAGACCTCGTGCTTTTATTTTGAAGACGTAAGGAACACGTCAGCATACCTGCTCTTGCTTGAAATACCAAGACGGTATGAGGCTCACAGCACTGTGCTTAAATCTGTCCAGAGTGGTATATTTTTTTGTGAATTGTACTGGGTTTGTGTATTAGAATTTTACTTTATTTTGATTTGTGTTTCCAACCAAAACATCATCCCTTTTCTCCTTACTTGGACATGTATCGAATAGGAGATGTTCATTTCTAGATTTGATTTTGCATGTTAAAGAAATGTGAATCTCACTCCTGTAGTGCCACCTGCAGGTAGAGTTTAGCCACTGCAGGTTTTGCAAATGAACCTCTTATTGCCTTTGAGTACATTACACAAAGAAGTTGCTAACAAATGATTTGTCAAATTAATCATTCTTTACCTGAAGACCTGAAAACATACAATCTCCCTAAACTGCCCTGTAGTGGCTTGTCTTCATGTCAAGAGGGAGCGTAATCATTTGTTCTCAATTCTACCTTTTCTCCCTCTGGTTCCTCTGTGTTTCCTCTGGCTCCTTCAGGTTAGGCTCTTACATTTTCAGAGTTGAAACTGTAGTACGTATATTGCAGGATATGCTATATTAAAACTGTGTGGCACATTACAAAAAGACCTGTCGCTGCTCTGAGTCAATCAGCAGTAGAGTGAGCAGGTCCATTCCAAGAGGAATGTCTTTTGTCTGGACGTGTAACACTGGTGCTGAGGTTTGCTGTGTTGATCCACTTTGCAGGAGAGTGTGGAAAACTCCTGGACGATGGGTGACAGCCCCTCCCACAGCCAGCTCAAAATTCGGCAGTGGAGCCCCGCTGACCGCAACACCAAGACCAAGCTGTCCTACGACATCAACAAGAACGTACTGGCTTGAACAGGGGGCTTGGCTAGGCCACGGCGATCTGTCAGTCAGCAGTTTGTGGTTGGGGAGAAATTCATTTGATAATCCGAAAAAGAGAGTCACAGTGCTGTGAGTTTGACTGGCACTTAACATTACAGTACGCTAAAAAACCTCTGACAAGCCTGGCTAAGAACGAACAAAAACTGCTCTGTCCTAACCCTCAAGACCATCACGAACAAGAGAGAGCTGACTGGATCTTCTTGTTTATATTCCTGTGGGTTTTCATGCATTTTAATTGTTTTCCCTACAAGGGCCATGGAATAGGATGACTCAAGAGGCTTGGGCTTTGGTACAAGTTTTTTTTAAAGCCTTCGTGAAACACATTTTGGGAGCACTGAACAAGCTACTCGGCCATGTTGTTGAAGCCGATACTTCCGTCAAGAAACAGCTGGATCAGATCTTTGGATCAGTTAGCTACTAACTAGTGGGCTAGATGGGTCTAGTTTGTAACCTTTCGAATGTTATTATGTATGTCTTGATATGGCTGATGCACTCCCCCATCAGCATTATGGCTAATAACACACCTTTCTTTGTACATCAGGAAGGAACATCTGTACTTCACCCTTCATTTTGCTACCTTCTACATTAAAATCCCTCGGAGTCATTTTGACAAAGCTCCGTATTGATCGGTGGTTGACTCCTTTTAAAATATAAATACCTATCACCCTGCTTTCAAACCGTTTAATGATTTAACAGGAAAATGACAGAAACTACTTATTGGTCACCAATTGTCTGCACCATTTGTTGACTTTTTAAAAAAAGCTCAAAGCATATTTTAAAAACATTTTACTTAATGTTTGTCTATCCTTGAAAAACTCTGAAAACTGTCAGCACAGCTGGAAATTAATTTAAGAAAACACCATGCCATTTGTATGACCTATTTACTCTGTTAACAACTGGTTATTTAAATAATATTTTCTGAAACGGTTAAAAGTGTAAAAAATTTGAACTGGACTTGCTAACTTATTACGTAATAAAGAAAACATTCATGTGAACATGGGGTTGTGTTTTTTTACGTAATACCACTGAGTTTTGCAAGAAATGTAGGCCGAGGTTCAAGAACTGGGACCCACTTGTTGGCTTGTGCTGACTCGACACTCTCTCTGACACAAAAGTGTGTCAAAGTGTGACAGCTGACAAAGAAGGTGTCAGAAAAGGGTACCAGGAGGATTTCTCTCATCACGAATTCTCTTTCCTACAAGGAAAAACTCAGTGACCGGAGTAACGATGTTCCTGGCTTCACGCTGGGGCTACAGCATGTGACAACCAGACAATCCCCACAGCGTATCGGGACAGTGCCTCACCAGGCCTGCAGGGGCAGGTGCTCTTGGTAAGAATTACGAATGAGGCACTTCCTGGCTGCCCACAGCCTCACCTCAAGCCTGTAAGCGAGTGTCCTGTTTCTCTCTCTTGCTGCACGCAGCTCATATCTGCATGCTGGAAACACACACCCTTGTCGTTATTATACTCGCCGCAGCTCAGGACTTTGGATCCTGAGTTCCAGTGGGAACGCTAACCAGCTGCTTCTTGGAGGAGCTGAGTTTCTCTGCTCTTTTATTGCGGATTGCCTTTTTTTCTGCCTTTGCTTAAGAAATCACAAGGCAATGTCAAGTACGATTCGCTTCCCTGTCCCAGTATCTATCTTACCCTCCATGTCAAAAACGGTCAGAACAGTCGGGGCCTAATTTGAAGGTGGTCAGTGTTTACTAAATGGAATTTCCAACAGGAAGTACAAGCCCTCATTTCTTCTTTAAACTATGTATGGCACGGAATGCTTAACATTTTTACATTCAAGAATGTTTGAATTTATTTCAGATCTGGCTTGGCCTGTGGATTACTGTTTGCGTGCGTGTGTGTGTGTGTGTCAGCTTCTTACATCCTCTTATGACCCAACACTGTGGCTGAGACTGCTGCTTCCTAACTCGGGTTGCCATGGCAATGGGCAACCTGCTCCTTTCGTTAAACCTAAATGCCTATATATAACGGTTTCCAAAGGAAGAGGTCTTTTAGTATGCAAATTAGGGCTGATGGCCCAGTCCTTAGATGGCCTTTGAGTCACATTCAAATACCAGGAGACAAGGTCACCTTGTACAGGCCGCTGTTTTCACTGTTTTCAGCCACAACGGGTTCAACTTGTAGCATCACAAAATCTCAGCAAAATCAGATAAGAAGGACCACTAGAGGATATTACTGCAGTCTTTTCCTTCTGCTCTCTTCATCTTTTATCTGAACTGAGTTACTGAACAGAGGCTTTTATCCAAAGTAACTAATCCAGGAAATGTACAGAATCAAGCTGGACTGGACCTGGCCTGCTCGTTTCTACGTTTCCTTGTAATGTTCTCTCCTGTTTGTACTGCACTGCCATTAACAGTACCTACGAGTCATGTTGTGCAGCCAGTGTTAAACCCGCTGGGCTTTTTCAGACCACTTCACCACATTACTTAAGACATCGCAGGAGAGCTATTTTGTAGTTTACCGACAGACTGTCCTTGTCTATTTGAGCGCTTCCACTTCTGTGTGGTATTGTGGGTCACCCTCTGCAGCTCGTCTTGCACACATAAAGAACATTCCCGCTGCCGGCGTGAAAGCCTTCGTTTTCAACACGAGGAAAATCACATTGACTCTTTTCCCTCTGAATCCACACCCCCCTGGAATTTCTCTTATTTGTCGTGCGGAATGAGTTTGGAATCAGGACAGAAAATGCTCATTCCTCAACTTTTTTTTTTTTTGAGTGAGATGCATGCTTTTTGAACCATAAACGTTGTTGTTGTTGTTGTTGTTGTTGTTAAAAAATACTATTGTTTTGCCCACTTGGGTGTTGTAAATTCAATACACTAGATTAAACATTTTTAGTTACCTCTTGCGGTCTACGTTATGTTGAGCAAGCTTTCAAACTCCCCATCTCCCCTCCCTGATGTCACAACAGCTAAATAAACGTTATTTCTGCCGTTTTTGACAAGTTGACCACTTTTTTATCACTCTTGCGTTTACAGAAAAGTGGGATTAGATAGCACACAGTAACTTAATGACTGCGTCGACTTCAGCTCGCGTTGTTTCTGACAGAACACAATTTAAAAGTGATAGGGGATGCGAATTGTCTCAGTAGGTTGCTACCTCTTTTAAAAGGGAACCCCCGCAAGTCGAATAATTCAGCTGTTTGTTAGCGCTGCTCACACGGATCCGCTTCCTGACAAGTCTTTAAGAGTGGGTGGGGGAAAGTTTCGTTTAAGGTGGAGTTGCTGAACTGCCCGGTAAACTGCTCAAAAAAAGAGCAAACAGGAGAGAGAGAGAGAGGGAGAGAGACGGAGGAGACGTAGCGCAGAAGAGGAATCCGTTGTTCGGAAGAAGAACGGAAAAAAACAGATTTTTGAGAAGCAAAAGCAATGTCTTCAGGTTACAGATCATGGGTCCTACTCCTGGTCTTTGTCCTGTTTTATTTCACTTTTCTGTTGCTGGGCGCTCTCGTCTTCTCGGCCATCGAGCGACCCGAAGAAGCGAGGTTGAAAAGCGAGCTCCGTTTGCTCAAGGCTCAGTTTCTGAACCAGAGCTGCGTCAACGCCACCTCTCTCGAAAACTTCTTAGACAAAGTTTTGACCGCTAACAAATACGGCGTCTCCATCCTTCAAAACTCTTCCGCCACCACAAACTGGGACTTCGCTTCGTCCTTGTTTTTCGCCAGCACACTTGTGACAACAGTGGGTAAGTGACAAAAACTGACGTTTTGTTTTTCTACGCGCTTCCTTTTAGTTTGTTTTTCGTGGCAGGATGTGTGTCTCGCATATTCCGGTGTGTTAAACAACACAGTGATGAATACACTGGCATAATGAATTTCATGAATGCAGAAGCACAAAGAGGAAGATCAGATAACGCACTTCTTAAAAAGTTGCGACTTTGTTCATTGAACTCCCAACGGGTCAGTTTTCATGACCTGCAATGTATTTGAACTCCTTGTAATAAGTGTCCAAAATCCGGATTTAGAGGTCACGGACCGACCCAGTTATGATGTTGTCCCTCAGGAAAACTACATAGTCGATGTTTTGTGCATTTGTGCAGGCCGTAGGATTCAATTGTTATTCTGATGGGCTAGCGTCATCATTTACGCCACTACCTCCAATCTAGCAACCCCCGAAGTTGTGAGTATTCAAAGCACTTAAAGCAAGTCAAATAAGAGCCATTTGCCATACGCTTGTAGAGCAATACTCGCTTCATTTCATGTTGAATGGGACACTAGTAATAAGTCAGTGGCTGCAGATGGACATATTTACATTGCTTAGAAAACGGTGTAGAAGCTCGCAAGGAATCGATCTGCATTAATGACAGGCTTTCCTGTAATAAAGGTATTCGCGAAGCCCCTCTGTATCTTTGACTTAGAGGTTGTGTGTTGGTTTTCGAAATTCACCCTGATTATCGGTATCTTTTTTTTCCCCATGATTTTCGCATTCCTGAACTGTAGTAATTGTAGAATCCAGGAGGAATTTCTGGAAACTTGGCGCTTTGCTTTAATTACGTCTGGAATAAATTAGAGCAGCCGTCTGCATCCTCGTTACCCGGAGAGCCACAATCCTGCAGGCTTTTGTAGGCGTTCAGTGATCACGGATCAGAAAAGCCTTTAGTTAAGGAGGCGTTAAACGAATTGATCTAGTTAAGTTTATAACTGCTCATCTGGCTCTCTAGGACTAGAGTTGCGGATTAGATTGAGGCCCCCTGAAATGAACCTTCATTTCTCCTCGCTCCTCTGATCTCTTACTAGTACATCATGAAAAACTAACAATACAAGAGGGTGAAATACCGCATTTTGTTAGGCTCTCCCGAATTCTTCCCAAATAACAGCTCTCCGTATAGCAGGGCGGCCCCACTCTGGTCCTCGCAGGCTTTAAGACTGTCCTTTAATTCTCCAGCTTCTCCGGCAGAGGAAAGGCGTACTTACCCAGTGAAGCAAGTAATGAGTTCGGTTAATGGTCATTCAGGGCTCGGGCGGAAGGAAACCCAGAAGTTTGGCCCTCCAGGACTGGAGGTGTGGACGTCTGGCAAATGGGGGAGAAAAATGGAATTCATGACTGTGCTGGATCTGTGGGACTGACTGGTCTGAAGCATGACTGAACCTCTGAACCATTCCAGGGATGGTTTGTGCGAGAAACGCAATGCTTATTTTTGAGTATTAAATGCTAAATCGTGCAGCATAATCACAGTATCCACTGCAGTGCTGTAGAGCAAGAGTGTGAATGTCCTGTGGGACCGTATACAGGCACTTACTCATTGGAGCATCAGCCACCCCTTTTCCTTTATTTTTTGTTTGTTTAGTATAAGCACCATATTTCAGTGTATGCCTAATAATCGCAGACGGTAACACTAAATACGCTTGTCCGTATTTTCCATCAAGTATTTAGTAGATAATTGTGGACATCTGGCTTATAACACGAGTTGTGTGCGAAGCCCTTGTAGAAGTTGGTCTGTGAATAGCCACAGTGCCCAGGAACACAACACACAGCAGTAATCGGGATTCTCCAGCAGGCAGCCCAGGACACACCCAGCATTTAGAAGAGGTTGTAGGCTCCTGCCCTCCCCTCTGTTTGCTGGGAGGAGTGAGGTCTGGAGTGTGATCAGCACAGAGTACGTGGCCCCTGATCACTGTGCTTCTGCACGTAAAGAAACAAAACATGGTGGAGATGGGGAAGAAGACAGGGACTTCTGCATGACGGAAGAGCCCTTCACTGGACCGGCTGGCCCCAGCTCTCCCGTGCTGCTGGACCGGGCCCTGCTGTGGGCAGGACATGCCTGTTAGTGATCTTCACGCTTGCCTGCAACTGCGGCACTGTTTCGGGTGGAGTTTTTTTTTAGACTAGTTTTGATGTCCCTGCTGTTTTTTTCTCTCAGCATTGTAGTGTGCAAGAAAAACTCGAATTACCATAAAGTCACGTACACCCAGAATTGCTAAATTTCCCTACTAGATTTAGTTGATGCAGAATAAGCATTCACCGTGATGAACTGGGGGCACCTGTTATTTTTCTACAGCTGTGCGGCTGTGGAAGTCTTGCAGGTGTTGTTAACTTCATGTGATGGCAGCGTTCCTGTCTTGTAAACATACCTTGTCAGATTGCGGAAACAAAAATGCTCTGTAAAGCGCTTTGAGAAGCCACCTATATAAAATACAGTTTATTATTATTATTAACCCTGGGCCTGGTGCTCAACACTGGGATGGGAGCCTTCCAGTAAGTTTGCTTGGCTGCTGTGAGCAGTGTTGGGTGGACCAGTAGGTGGCGCTCTTCCTGCTGGACTAGAATTTCCAAACCACATCCTCCACATTCCGACGGGTAATGCCATGTGGTAGCTGGCGCTCCTCTGCAGATGAGATGTTAAAATCACTGCTTGGCTGTTAAAGACCCTTTGGCTCTGCTCATACTCGTGGGAATCATTTCCGCTTGTTGCTGTAGCGATCTGGACTCCCTAAAATTCCCCTGTAATTCAACTGTCAAGGCAGTTTCTCACCTCTTCACCTGTTTCGCTGTGCAGTGGGGTGCTGTAGAAGAGGTGGAGTCTCCTCCTCCTCTGTGCAAAGTGCTCTGGGATTATCTGGGATTTGTTTTTCCCCCCACTAAGCAGCGTCTGTCTTCAGTTGTAAAACACTTGCTGTCCCAGAAGGCCGAGCGCCCTGCGTAGGTGAAAATGCTGACTGGTAACTGCTCAGGGAAACCGCAGAGTGGGTTTTGGTGTCTTGGTCTGAAATCTGCATGCCAAGACCCCCAGTCCTTCAGCAAACTGAAATGGACCAAAAAGAAGAGCCAGCTGCTGTTCTGGCACTACGTGGATACCAGCTGGCACGGCAGAAATAAAACTCCATTTCTTAACAGTGAGAAGAACACTTGTTGTTGTGCAGAAGCATCCTATTCCAACCCTTGGCCGAAAAGTGCCCTTGTGGTTTCTGCTGCCTTTGAGAGAGCTGCTGGCGTTTGACAGGTCAGATGCTGACTTGATCAGGGCGTTTCATCCAATTTATTGCATCTTATTAAAGTCTTGTATTTCGGAAGTGGCGTTCATGCCTGTGTAGCGTACACTTCTTTTTTCTTTCAATGTCTCAATGTAAGCTCACATATTTATCTAAACAAGTGAGTAAAATGGATTTTTCTTGGTGGCTATGTTGCTATGCAGTAAATGTTTAAACCCTCTTGTTAATGTATTCCAGATGTAAACGAAACAGTCACACTGCTGTACTAAGGAGATCTGATCACACGCTTTACGTAATGTTTTGCCTGTTTGTAGCTAGGGTTTTGTTCCCAGAAGTGGATGTTTTTCAGCCTTGTTGGAGTTGTTTGTTTGAGGTTATCTGTGTCTTGCTCAGGCCTTGAGCAATATAAGAAACCAGGACGCGAGACAAACACTTATGTGTTTGTGTCTCCTCTGTTTTGTGCATTGTCCAGATTTAAAGGCGGCGCATTTTAATGATACATTTTTGATAAATTGGGTTTCTTCTTGTTGGCTCGAGAAGCTCCAGAGCTGTTCGTGTTTGGAACACGTCACTGTAATCATCAATAAAGTGACCACTGGCCAAAATATTAGAAACTCTAAGAGAAGTGAATGGAATCTTGAGATTATCATGGTCTTCCCTAACCAACCGGATAAAATCTCCTTTGGAAACACAAGTGCTCTACATCATCATAAGCCCTTCAATAAAAGCAAGTTTAATTTTATTTATCTTGCATGTAAATTCCTGCTGTATATGTGACTGCAGCCTGGTTAAAAGGTGGTCATGCTGGAAGAATGGGAAAAGACTGTGGACATTTGTGGGAGCATGCAGTCATCCGTGTGCTGTTCCAGCTGTCCCTCTTTGCCGTTCCTAATATTTTGGCCAGTGTTAGTGCAAGCTGCCCGCTCCTGGGAGGTCACCCAAAGGGTTACTCTAGCTGCAGATGTATTTTAAGACTACACAGTAATTTCTCTCAGTACCATAAAACCCTAAGGAGGGGACTTGCCATCAGCTGAAGTTCTGCACAGAACAAGCTTTGTTCTCCAGCTCCCTGTGTGGCAGACTGGGAGCAGAAGTGGAGGGTGGAGGAGGGGGGGTGTGTGTGGTGGGGGGGCTTGTACAGTCACACAAGATCTTTTGGATTATATAATGGATGTTATTTTACAGCAGGGAGAATGGTCTTTGTAACTGGACTGTAAGAGGGTAGTTCTCTAAACTGTGCTCAGGGTTTCCTCTTTCCCAAATCGCATGACGTTCCTGTAGTGCGTGGCCCTAATGTAGTAAAATTGACAACCACGACATCCAGAAGGTTGTAGCTGTGGTAGAATACAAAGCACACGATGGAGCACACACAAACACATCCATGAGGAGCCTCAAGCATATGGTCACTAGGAAGGCTGACCTACAGTATAGGAAAATGAGGGACTAATGTAGCTACTTTTGAAAAAGTTGTTTGATTTGGTCTTGGTTCAGTCCCTGATTCGGGAATGTCGGACATGAGGTTTATAATAATAATATAATAAACTTTATTTTATATAGCACCTTTTAAAGGTAGCTTCTCAAAGCACAGCAATAAATAAGAAGAATACAACAATAAATAAGAAGAATACACAAGATAAAACACAATTACAGTACACAGAGGAGACCGTGGATGGTGGTACTAAGTATAGTAGGAGCAGAGGGGTGAAGAATGGAACCAGTTCAGTAAAGGCTCTTCTAAAGGAGAGGGTTTTGAGTCTGGATTTGAAGGAGTTTAGAGAAGGTGACTCTCTGATGTCCTTGGGGAGAGAGTTCCAGAGCTTGGGGGCATAACAGGAGAAGGCCCTGTCACTCATAGAATGTAGATGGGTTTGGGGGACAGTAAGGAGACCAGAATTAGAAGGCAAAGGTTGCAAGGTGGGGAGTAGGGCGATAATAGCTCAGACAGCATGAGGATTTTAAAGTCCACACGCAATTTGACATGAAGCCAGTGCAAGGACTCCAGGATAAGAGTAATGTGAACACTTGCAGTAGACCTGGTCAGGCTTCTGGCTGTTGAATTTTGGACATCCTGCAGTTTGTTCAATGTAGATTTGGATACCCCAGCGAGTAGAGCATTACAGTAGTCAATTCGGGAGAACACAAATGTGTTCATCAGCTTTTCAGCCACAGTTAGTGATAACATAGGGCATAGTCTAGCGATATTTCTGAGGTGTTTTGATAATATGCTGCGCATGTGGGTCGAATGTTAAGCCAGAATCTAATATCACCCCAATATTTGACTCAAGCTCAAGTGCAGAACCATCTACAGATCGGGTTACAGCATTGGCGTTACAGAGTTGATGGGGGGTGCCAATAAGCATGACTTTAGTCTTGTCACAGTTAAGATGAAGGATATTTTGAGTCATCCACATTTGTCAGAGATGCAATTAGACAGAATAGAGACCGCTGCGTCAGTGTCAGGTTTGGTATGGTGTATGGTTTATGTCGTCCTGTCTGCGGTGTCCTGAAGCCTGGCCGCTGACCCGCGGGTGGTGTGCCCTCTCTTGTTGCATGCAGGCTATGGGCGCACCACGCCCCTCTCGGACGGCGGCAAGGCCTTCTCCATTGTGTTCGCCCTCCTCGGCGTGCCCTTCACCATGCTGGTGCTGACCGCCAGCGTGCAGCGGCTCATGCACCTCCTGACCTACCGCCCCGTGGGGGCGTGCCAGCGCAGGGCCGGGCTGGAGCAGAAGACGGCCGCCCTGCTCCACTTCGCCGTCATGCTGCTGCTGGTCGTGGTCTGCTTCTTCGCTGTCCCGGCGGCCATCTTCACCACCATTGAGGGGAACTGGACCTACCTGGACTCCTTTTACTTCTGCTTCATCTCCCTCTGCACCATCGGCCTGGGAGACTACGTGCCCGGGGAACAGCCCGGGCAGAGGCTGCAATCCCTCTACAAGATCCTGGTCATGGGTGAGTCGGCCGCCGTGTGATTCTGGTTAAATGATGCCACTGCAGTCTTTCTCTAGGGAGCTGGGCTGCAGACTGTTATGAAGCCTGATTTGTGTCACCGAATCCCAATTTTGAATTGACTTGTCATTGAGTCCCGTTGAATCTGGATGATTCGACTCCAGTGTTATCTACACTGGTCCCTCTAAAAACAAAAACCCTGGGATCTCCTCACTGGGGTCAGTCTGGGAGGTCAGAAGAATCTTGAAGTCCATGAATCATGACCGTAGCTATCGCACAGGACTTGCTGTGGAATTGCTCCAAACTCGTTCACTGTAGCCGGGGGTGAGCTGGCTCCACAGTGACCCGTCCTGTCTGTCTGCCAGCATTGCTTCACATGTCTCAGTGGCTGCCAGCTCAGAAGGAGGTTATTTGCCTTCTTGTGGGATTATCCAGCACGAACACGCTGTGCTCTTGAACGCTGCAGGTCAGCTGCATTATAATCTTAAGTCTCTGCTTTTTTTTTTAAGCAGAAGAGCCACGAGTTGGATTTTGTTTTCTACTGGGAGCGCTGTGTGAACAAGGGCATTTTTGCAACTGCGATAGGATTGAGCAGAGATGTGAGGGTTTTGGCTCAAGCATCTGCAACTAAAACCTTTGCATAAAATTAAAAAGGGCATATTTCCATTGTACTGTTTCTGCACCTGTGTGACAGGCGTGACTAACTCCCGAGCCACTGAAACATTTACATGAAAGGTCTAGTATGACGCAGTGCCAAAAATTCAACATGGAAATTCTACCTGAAAAAAAAAATGGGGCCGATATCATATATTACTCGGACAGCCAACAAAATGGTTTTCTAAACCGGAATATACAAAATTGATATTTTGGATTTTGATCAAAATTCCAAATGGAAGCCGTTTTTGAATCTCAAGATTTGTATTCACTGGACAGGAATTTCACTTGGAGCTTGTTGCATTTTAGGACTGAGGGATATGCTCAAGCAGACAACAGAGCTTTTAGTTTTCTAAAAACATCTTTAAGGACTTTTTTCACATCCCACTTCAGTCGCAGCTCAGTGCAGAACTGTTGCTCGATAATTTCTGGGTCTGTAATGCTGACACGTAATGCTATACGTTTCCTTAGAATTCTCTCATGGTAAAGCCCCTGTGAATGTCTAATATAGGGTGTTAAATTATAGACTATTTTAGGTATTACTATTTCACTTCCTCATTCTGTTTCTGGTCTTAGTCCTTGTTGCAGCTGAAGTGGCCAAGTAAAGCTTTTGATCTTGCATTACGTGTTACTTGTTTTCCGATATTAATCTGTAGAACGATTACAATGGGGCAGTTTCTCCTGTTATTGTAAGTTGCTTAAGCAGATTTGCTGCCCTGAAGTTTAAACAACAGTTCATTTGTATTTTTGACAAGCAAAAATCGAGCTTAAAACCCTCTAACCGCAGGCATGGTGCTTCTGTACTGAGCATCTAAAGACACAGGCACTCTGCATGAATATCTATGTGAATATCGATGACATTGTGGCGAATGAATCTTCCTGGGATAAGGGAATGTACACTGAAGCAGTAAGTGGCTTTAGCAATAGATAGTGCCCTTGACTGGTGAAGCATTTTCAAATCGGTGCCCCACTATAGTGACCGAGGGCACTGTGTTGTAGGAGAGGCTGTACTTCAGATGAGATGCCAAACCCATGTCCTGTCTCCTTGTTGATGAATGATCCCATGGCAGTGTTCACGAGTAGCTCTAGTTAAATGCCTCTCTGGGCTTGTACATTCTGGCCTCTCTAAAGTTACCCTTTACTTCACCAGCTGAGTTAATTTCTCCCCTCATTTCATTTCCGCTTGTTGCTATAGCGATCTCTGCTGTGCAGCGGGGCTGCGAGTGTGTAATGATGCACGTTGCCCAGGTGGTGCTGTGCTGCAGTGGTGAATGAAGTGCAGGAGATTTGTTTATCCCTGTTGGGAAACGGCTCACTCTGCAGCAAACGCAGTGTGAGGGCAGATAGCTCGCCAGCGTATTCAGCTGTGGGGTGAACATCATTCCCGTTGCCTGTGTGTCCACAGTTTACCTCTTCCTGGGCCTGATGGGGATGTTCCTGGTCCTGCGCTCCTTCCACAAACTGGCTGACCTCCATGGACTCACTGCTTTCTTCCACCTGCCTCACTGCGAGGAAGAGGAGGAGGACGAGGAGTCCATCATTACCTCCAGCCAGGAGAGCCACAGCAGCGTTGACAAGTCGCGCAGTCCGCTGGACCCTGGCTCCCAGGTCTCTTACAGCTCCATCAACAGATAGCTCCCTCCTGCCCCTCCCTCGGCTCTCCGCTCGCTGGACACCCAGACCCCAGGATTGTACTCTTCAGACATTCTTCTGCTCCGGTGTGAAAAGACACAAGCATAAACTGAACCCACCAGATGTGATGGTTTTCATTTTAAAGCCCCGTGGCTGTTGAAATGTTTTTTAAAATCGTTGTGCTTGTTTCTTTTTGCTTTCCCCTCCATTAACATGTCGCTGACTCCAAAAACTCAGCAGTGCCTCCGAAAAGTGTGCGATTGCCCTGGATCTGTTTGTGTATTTGTAGTCTCATGGTACAGTTGAACGGTGGCAGTATACTGAGCTTTCTCAGCTCACGGGAGGAACGCAATGTTTGCACCTTATCAGGATTTGTTGCTTTTGCCTGCACCCTATGTCTCCGTTTCATAGTCATTTAGTTTCATCAGTGTGAATTGTTGTGTCGCCCAAGACCACCGAAAGATCAAAGCTTCCGCTTAGTGCCCATCATTCATGAATGTTTTTACATCTGAAACAGACCAGGACCCCTGAACGTGGCTCTGTATAGGAACAAAAGTGTGATCCATCAGTTTGATTTTACTTCAAACTTACTTAATTGTTTTGAGGAGGTTCATTTGTCCGGAGAAATCTTACTGGACTGGAGCTTGTACTCAGCAGCATTGTAGTCCAGTGTAAGTAAGGAAGATGGTCTGGAGGTGTAAATCCTAATATACTTTGACCTACAGTGATGGTTTGCACAATTAATGCACAAATGTCAAGGCTGTGGCACAACAGTGCATGATGGGTAGCTAAGCCCAGTGTGTGGAACTGGAAGGGCCAGAAACCCTGCTCCTTAGGCCTCATTGCATCTGAGCTCTTTACTTAAATGAACTCAACTTTGCTTAGTTTTTGTAATAGTTTTCAGCTTCTGCCAAAATTGTCACTCCTGATTTACTTATTGGTGTTCGTTTTAGGTCATTTAGTGATTCTGAAGATTAAAACCGTAAGCGGCATGTAATTAGATTAGAGTTTAGGGATAATTAACTGACAGTGAGTTACGGCACTAAAGAGGATGGTGGAATTCTTTGTTTTGTATGTGGAAATCCACAGAAAACGGTGCAGCTGCAACTGTGACCTTCCACTGTGTTATTCACGTGAATATTGGTGTTCTGAAAAGATGTGAACGATCACGTATCGTTTTGTTGGAAAGCTGTTACCAGGAGTGTCTGCTGTGTGGGTTTTCACACGGTGAAACAAAAAACAGTCCACTTGCACTTCAGTGGCGACTCCGAATTGGGTTCTGGCCTCCTTCCGGACCTGTTTCCTCTAAGGCATCTCCGCTGTCCTCTCTCTAATGAGTTAGTCCATTCTGTTTGCTGTGGTCAGTGACATTTTGACCTCCATGTCAAAGAGTCTGCATTCTCGGTGCCAGGGGTCAGTCAGGAGAAGCAGACCAGATGGGAAGAATGGAGACTATTTGCTACAGGGGTGTTAATATTAACATTTCGTGCAGTTTAAGGACCTGCTGACTCTTGAGTGCTGTTTAACCATCTATCAGCACCACCACACTGATCCCAATCAGACACGATGACCCTCTGACCTGCAGTGCTCAAAATGTCCAGGGCTCTGGGACTCTGAATCCCGTGCAGTCATTAACAGCATGGGCGCAATGAAAACCAGAAGTCTCCTGGCGCACAGCTCCAGTGCGGAGAGTCGTTTCCTGAAGCTCATGCTTGGTCTGTAGGTCCATTGTCCATTGCAGACTAGATCTTCACTTGTACTCTTTGTAAATGGAGACTTGCCGATTTGGGGTTGATCTGCAGGGTGAGGAATGGATTCAAACCCAACTGTAGTTGAAACATGACTGTAAAACTCTTTCTAAACCTGTGTGAAGTATAAACTCACCTGTGTGTGGAAGAGCGGCGCTCAGAGCAGTGAGACGAGCTGTGTGAGTTGTACACGGTCCTCGGTGCTGTTCTTTTTCTGTTGTTTTTTCAAAATTAGAGTGTTTTTCTGGTAATGTTGCAATTATTATATTATTCATTTTTGATAACGTATTGATGAAGCTACCTGTAGGAAAAAACAGAACTGTATTCCTCGCGGTCCTACCTCACGACGAGCTCGATCCTCCCTGGCTCTCTGCCGTGTGTTTGACATGGAGCTGCTGCTGCTCAGGATCCCATTGGCTTTTATTAGCTGCAGCGATCCGCACGCAGTGGAATAATCGCTGTCTTGGGTCAGCGTGTCCATACAGATTTACCTCGTGATCTCCTGCTCTGGTCCTGAAAGGTGGGTTTTTAATTCCATCTGACCTCAAATAGCTGTCATTCTCTTTTGTCATAGTTGCACCGGTTTCCAAGCTGTTTAGATGCTGGTGCTGTAGAGAGACCAGTACTGGGGACCCCTGCCCAACAGGAGGAAATGACTAATAAGGTGAATGGGAAACCAGTGATGGGCTCTTTGGGGTGGAAGACCTCTGTTACAAGTACTTTACTGTAGTTTTACCATGTCATCGGGTATTTTAACCCCCTTTTTTGCTGAGGACCTTTGAGGAGTTAAAATTTGCTCTCTTGCCTGTTGCTGTCCATCCCAGTTAGTGTGCAATAAGTCATTTTGCGTGACAGGTTGGAGGAACTGAATGTGGGTTTTTATCAGAGTGCCCCATTGAGCAATCACGGATCCTGAAATCACAGGAATGTTTTGGGGCTTGTGTGCTGTGACGACAGGTAGCTTAATGTACTCCAGACTGGAATACAGTACTTGGAAGCTGGTAGTAGAAAAATGATAGTGTACTAACAAATTCAGTGGATCCCAAACTTTGAATCCTTCCTTTTTATTGTGCCTCAATTTCATCATAGTTAACTTGAGTGGAGGCACACTTTAAATTGTCTGGTTGTTATATTTCACTTTTGTCCCTGTAAACCTCAAAATAGAAGAGAATTTGCACATTTTTTACCCTCTTGTTTACATGAAATCAATGACAGACCAGAGCTGTATTTTTTCACCACTTCAGAGGTTTTACAATTTTTTTTTCCCCACTTGTGAATGCTTGTCCAGCACCTTGATCAAGTATGCTGATAGAAATGAGGGCATAGAGTTGTTCCTGTGGATTGAAGTGGATGTGTAGAGAAAGGGCGCGTTCACAGAAGTCTGTGCATCTGAAAGTTGTGTGCGACACGGCGATGGCCTGTATACAACAACCAATGGGAGAAAGGGAAAATTTCACAATGTTTCCACAGCGGTTAAACTGCGGAGAAAGAGTCCGTGGTAACACAACCATGTAACATGTATCAAACAAATAAAAGGTTAAATGCACACGTTCTGCAAACAGCACTGAGACGCTGCCCTTTCCTGACTTTGGTTTAGAATAGCATAAGAGGCAGAACCAGGAGGAGCCTGAAGCAGTCGCTTGTATTGCAGTTTTTTGCTTTTCTCGGCATGTGATCCTCAAACTTCTGATTTGGTGTTCTGGGTACTTCGTGTTCACTGGGGGAGGGGGGCCGAGGGGGGGTATTCCAGTCGGAGCACTGCCAAAGCATTGCTGCTTTAGACCAGCTGAACCTCAGTTCGAATTGTGTCCAGGCGGCAGTGCCTTTAAATGGCTTTCATATCGGTTTCAGTGCAATAATGAAGCAGACCAGGTTAGGGCATCGCTTTGCACAAGTTTTATACGTTTAGCGACGCTTTTTATTAGCGTGGGCATGTCAACATTTTCTCTTTCTCGAGAGTTGAGATGAGGCAACAGTGGAACTTTGTTGGCTCAGTTCAGGTTGGTACCAGTTGAAGTCTGTGATTTTTTTTGGAAGAGAATTGTATCATTGTTGCTGTAAAACCTAGGTTACTGTTCTTTAATGTACAGTGACCAACTGTAACTGTGGGCAATAAATAAGGTGACCTGAAGCAAGTTTTAAGTTTTGATACCCAAAGGAAACATTTTTAAAGCTCTTCTGGAGTTCAGTTTTCCCTTCTGGAGCAACAGTACTGCCCTTTTAAACTCTATGCATCAATTGTTTGGAATACCTGTAAACTCATCTGATATCGTTTTGAATTGGTTGTAAACTTCTTTTTAGTACTATTAGTTACAGTATTTTGTTTTTATGCATTATTGTTTTGTGGTTTTGTCTGTATCCTCATTAAGGGATACCGCAGTGTTTAAACAATAAACATTTTAATTCCTTCTGCTCTTGCGTCTGTGGTGGTTGTTCAAGCATTATTATATTCAACCATTAAATTGCTGGCTGTTGATCTACTGTGGAACAGTCATCTCACAAAACATCTTGTTGGAATTAGTATTTTTATATAAATCAGAGCACTAAGAAAATGAAAAGTTTTTTGCTTTTGATTAAATAGAAGCAGTGATTAACAGAGTCTTCCGATTTTAATATTATGACACCCTGTGCCTTAACAACATAGAGGGCATTTTTACAACAAAATGTCATGTCCAGCATTTAAAACACTTGTTTTTTTTAAATGAACATATTTTCTCAAGTACAAGATTTTAAGCTGCGCTTCCAGTAGGCTGAAGAGATCTAAAGATGCATATTTCTCAGATTTTAAATACAAGCTAGATTGTTGATTTTACTTTAATTGCAAAGCTGGCCTTTTTACTGCAGTCAGCCTGTTTTCACGATGAATGCTGCCTTTTTAAAGTTGGGATTCTCTTTCCTGTGTTTTACCAACACAGACAGTACGCTATAAAAATGACAGAGGCAATACGAACTTGCAGTGCAAGCTATGTAAACAAAACCGCTAGGAACACTTAACCTGCAGTAAGAAATGTGTGGCACACAGTATCTTTAGTTTCTGATGGCTTTTCATAGCATAACCACCAGAGGGCAGTGCTGCCACAAAATGGGACAAGCCAGGGTGAGAGAGTGAACAAATGGAAAGAGCTGTTGCCTGAGAGTTACGAGAATCCTTACAGCACCTTTCCTTACAGGTGTATGCAGACTGCGTTCAAAGCGTTACTTCAAACCTGTAACTTCGAAAGGAAAGTGAAAAGATTTGTTTGCTTTTTTTAGCTGACCAAAAAAAAAATAGCTCTTTACTTTGAAACCCAATCGATCCCAACCCGTGAGACCGAGCTTCAGAGAAAGTTGGCCTCTCTGACCTCTAATAACTGACTTAATAATCAAGACACCCTGTTCCCTGATTCTAACCCCATCACAGAGCAGCAGCTTGTTTTGTTCTGTCGTAGCAAAAGGATGAGGGCGCAGGGTTGTCTCCAGCCTCGCAGGAGGTCAGTCTCCAGATTCTTCCTAGACGCGGGCGTTTCTTCAGTGGCTGAAAGTGGGTGTGAACTGTCCAAAGAGATGTGGGGGTTCAGGCAGCGCAGACAGGCTCGTGTACGCGTCTGGAGGGAGACATCTTGACTGGTCACAGGCCGGGGGGGTCGAAGAATCTTTGCAAGCAAGCGAGCGAGACCAGCACGACGGAAAGGTGAGAGAACCTGTGTGTTCACCGTCCTGTTTGTGGGAGACTAGAGTGTGACTGCATTCCTGGGACTGGCCGGGCGCTGGGAGGGGAGTCCACCGGGCGAGCCGAGCCCCCGAGAGAAATGGGGAGGCAGCGGCTGAGCCCCCCCCCCTCCCGCTCAGTCCTCGCCGTACTCGTCGTAGCCGCAGACGACGCCCACGTCCTCCTTGTGGGAGCAGTCGTGCTGGCCGGTCCGGGCGCGCGGGCACTCCAGCAGGGTCCTCTCGGTGCCCTCGCACCGCACGTCGTCCAGCAGGATGGGGAGCTCGGCGCCGCCCTGGCCCAGCTCGGCCCGCTTGGCCACCCGGAGGGCGAAGGGGTACCCCAGCTGCCGGCACACCACGCCGGCCGCCTGGCGGTCGAACAGGTCGTCGCACACCGTCCCCCACTCCCCCTTCACGAACACCTCCACCCGGCCCCGGTCCGCCCTCTTCCCGGCGCCCGCCAGACGCACCGCCCCCTGCCTCAGCTTCCGGCGCCTCCCCTTTCCCCCCGCCGAGCCCCTGCCGCCCTTGTGCACGCGGTTCCCCCTCGACCTGTCCGAGCCCCCCAGCTTGTCGGCGTAGCCCTTCAGGCTCTTGTCCCCAGCCTTGGGCAGACTGGAGTTGGGCCTCTGGGTCCTGGCGGTGGGCTTCAGGATGACGGTCCGATAGGTTGGCCTCAGGGTGGTCAGGGGGGTCTTGGTGACTGCCTCTGTCCGGCCCCCCAGCCTCGAGCCCCTGGCTGTAGTTTGGCGCTGGTGCGGCACCAGGCTTGGGGAGGGTTTCTCTGACCTGCCTCTGTCCGGCGGGGTGGTCACTCTGGGTCTGTGGGTGGCCAGGGTCGTGGTGGGGCTGGCAGGCTGGAGCACAGGGGTGGGGACGACATGTAACCTGGGGCCAGGGGTGACGGTACGGGGCCTGGCGGCCGTCGGCGGGCCTCTGCTCTGGGCGACGGGGCGCGCCGTCGTCGTCGTCGGCGCGGCTGGTTTTCTGGTGATGCGGGGGGTTGTGGGATAAGAGGGAGTGGCGGTCGGTCTGCCCGTGCTGCGCGGAGCCGTGGGAGCCGGCGGAGTCGGGGTCGGCCTGCGGGCCGGCTGGGTCAGGCCCGATCTGCTCGTGGCCGCGGGGACCGACCTGGAGGAGGACGTCGCAGCTGCAGCTGGGCCGGTCGGCTTGGGGCGGCTGACGAATTCTGCCAGGGAAGTTTGAAATCACACGATCGATAACGGCTCCCAGGCCCAGCTCTGCAGGTGAGGGTAATGCATCAGACTTGCTTCCGGGAAAAAAGGAATTTCCTTCTGTTACTTACTTTCCAAGGGTCGGAAGGGGATCAGTTTTCCGTGAACCGTCACCGGGGCGTGTGTGACGCTACATTTGCCGGGAGGAGCTCTCCTACAGTAGCAGAGAGGGGGAAGAGCAAGGAAGGTCAAGAAACGGTCAGTCTGTGGGCGGCAGTGCGTTTTGCTCACCAAGTCCAGATCTGCAAGGCACCTGCTGGAGGTGCAAGTAAATAGAAGGAAGTTGCACAAAAGAGTTAAAAAGTAGAGTTAAAGTGTAGAGTTTGATGAACTCTTTTTCTTTCCTGCTGGGGTTTTTATTCCTTGCGACAGCTTCTTCGTACCTAACTGAAAAACCACCTGTCCGCGGCACACACCGGGCCAGCACTGCCTGCCTGCCTGCCTTTCCAGCTCCTGCAAAACGGGCAGCCTGTGACATCAGCTCAGCAAAAAGGGCCTGGTGGTTTTCTTTGTGTGTGTTGGTTTTGTTCAAACAGGATCCTTTTTTTCCCACTGTTTGTTTTTGACTCATCAAATCGTCCAGTGGGACGAGTTTCTGTAGTGGGTGTGAAGCTAAAGGTATAGGCTGCACTGTAGCTCTAACGCTAGTTGCCATGACAGAGGAGAGGAAAATAAAAGCAACTAGTCAGTAAGACACCCATTTACAGGTACTTTTAGCTTTATTCATTTGCCAGACACCTGTATCCAAAGTGACTTAGAATTACATCCAGTCAAGATGCAGAGTGTGAATACAACTGTTTTAAAGGCAGGCGTGCATTATTAATATCAATGAAACTAACATTCACCTCCTACTTGTAAACCTGCAATAGTGACTGTACGCTACACCGCTTACCTTGAAGGGTCAACTATTTTATAGACAAATCCAGCTCGGACAGCTGCGCTGGGCGACCCTGTGGACAGGAAGTAGAGTTCTCCTGCAGAAACAAACGTACAACAAGAGGAGAATGAAACTTGGCCTGTTTTCCTTGCAAGCGTATTTAAGTCCCTCTGCTTCACTGGAAAGGGTGGAAGAACATGCCCCCCAGTTTTGGCAGCCTGAAAATTTGCCTTGAGCCCTGTCTACTGGCCATGTTCCGGATCGTCTGAGATGTATGCCCCAGTTTCCCCAGAAGGGAGGTTAACCGATCGCCAGATGGGTGGGCGACACGCAGCTTTTGGGTCAGGTGCATTTGCATATAAATATCTACTTTGACATTGCACTGCAGATCAGGAAGAAGATAGGAGACATGGAAACAAGGCGAAATGAGAGGTGAGGAAGTTATGGTGTGTACTGTTTGTTACTAGATCACCATATAACCGTTAATTCTACATCCCCACAACAGTGCAAGGTCTCTCTGAGCCACAGTAGGTCATCTTGGAGCTACTGCTCTAAGTGCAGCTCTTCTGCGGAAGACCACAGTGGAAGATCTCGGCAGCTATGGGGGAAAGTGCACATACAGTAGCTAAGGTTACCTGCCTCATCCTCAGCAAACGAAATGATGTACTTGTAATAGCTGTTGATGAGCTTGGGGAAGAAGCAGGTCAGGCCCTTGCCCATGCAGACCTCGGTATACTCCCACTGCCCAGTGCTGGGATTCTCCTTCAGCGACATCAGGCGCCTGCGAGACGGCAGAGGGTGTCAGCGCCAATGGCTCAGACCGGGCCCTGAAGAACAGAACTGTGCTGGCCCAAAAACACGAAACGTCTTCGCGAAGACTGGACTGAGGCCTCTGGAATCCCCCAGAGGATTTTCGAAAGAAACAAAACCACAATTCTTTAGGTTTAACACAAGAGAATTTCAGGAGAGAAGGATAATGTACTGTAGTCTGCCTGCCAGCATGGCAACTTTGTCATCTGATACAGACCATGCAAGATTTACATTGGGAGGATGATGACAAAACTAACAGCAGCAGCAGCTCATATTGTTGGGTGGTAGTGAGCAACTCATGAATTCACAGACCCACCCGCTCATGAAGTCTCCAAAGATGTACAGCCCGTTGAGATTGGGCATCTCGCAGCCCCTGTAGACGTAGCCCCCCGTCACCGACTTCCCCAGCTTGTGGGGGTAGGCAAAGATGGGCAGGATGTCATCTGCAGGAAGGAGACACACAGCTCTCTCTCGTGTAGTGATGCTGAGCTAAGATTTCACGCCCTCATTCCTGCAGGTGAAGGGCCCTGGATCTGCCCTTTCCTCACAGGTGAACCTCCAGCACGATAAGCAGTGCACAAAAAGTGAACATCAGACCCTGTGTGTCACAAGATGGCTTCCCTGCTGTGGGCAATCTCAGCACTATTCCTGAGAGCAGAGGAGATTTTACACAATGAGCCGTTATACTCCCTGATAGTAGTGCAACTATGTAACTAATGCACCTACGCACCTAATATAACTGTATAACTAATGGAACTAATCCAACTAATGTAACTATGAATCTAAGTAACGAATCTAACTAATGTAAGTAAGTAATGTAACTGAATCTAAGTAACTAATCTACAGTATGTAACAACTGTAACTAATCTATGTAACTAATGTAACTATAAAGCTAAGTAACTAACGTAACTACGTAACTAATCTAACCAATGTAACTAATATAACAAATGTAACAAATGTAACAAATCTGACCAAACTAACGTAACAATGTAACTAATCTAACCAATGTAACTAATGTAACAAACGTAACTAATATAATTAATCTAACTAATGGAACAAATGTAACTAATCTACCTAATGTAACTGTAATTCATGCAACTAACTAAAGTAACTATGAATCTAAGTAACGAATGTAACTGATCTAATGGAACTGTGGAACTGTATAGCTGATGTAACTCCAGGAGCCACCAGGTACAAGATGAGTGTCCACTCCTCCCAGTACCAGAGCCTGTCCCGGGCCCGGAATGCCCTTACCGAGGGAGGCGTTGTGGCAGAGCTTGTTGTCGTAGCAGGAGAAGCCCTCCTTGGCCCTCCAGCCGTAGTTGCCCCCCCGGGTGATGACGTCCACCTCCTCGTATTTGTTCTGGCCGACGTCGCCGCAGAGGACGCGGCCCCGGCCCTCGCCCGTCGCGGGGTGCCCCCGGTCCACGGAGCAGCGCCACATGTTCCGCACCCCGTAGGCGTAGACCTCGGGCCGCGCGCCGGGCTCGCCCGCGAAGGGGTTGTCCGGGGGGATGCGGTAGGGGGCGCCGCGGTCGTTGTCGTCCACGTCCACCCTCAGCACCTTCCCCAGCAGAGAGGACCTGCAGCCGGGCGGGAGGAGACACCCGGGTTTGCTCCCTGCGGATCGCTTCCACCCGAAGGGGGCGGATAACGGCCCACGCTCCTCTGCACGGTTCATTCCTAACACGTGCAGTAGGAGGCGCCGTCCTGCGGCCGACAGGATTATTCAAGATCCAGCGGCACGGATTGTAAGTGTGGCAAAGCCAGCCCCTGCCCGAGCTCTTGCTTGCTCAGCCTGGCCTGCCACAACTCTGCCCTCGGTTGAAACACCTCCTCTCTTCTCTATCCCGTCTGCTGTGTCGTGGAGGAGCTCAGGCTCGCTGCCTCATGGCACCCAGCTGGGCTCCACTTTTCAGGGGTCCCTTTGAAATGGGTCCCTTTCTACACACAAAAAAAAAACTTCTGGGGCTTCCTCTTGCATGAAAAGACCAAGGGATTGTCGTCAATGCACTCAGGAGGACAGCAAGTGACGTTTTAGCAGGAAAAAAAACACTTTAAGGTTTCTAAAATAAGAGATAAAAAAGGAAACGCATTTTAGCAGAGCTAAATCGTGAACGTCGCAGTGTTAGATGTTTTTAAATGTTAAATAAGGGTGGTTTTGTCCCACATTGTACGTTGTACGACTTCATTTCACCGTTATGTTGTGTCACAAACGCAGCGTTCGCACCTGTTGGCATACGAGATTCACAGCGCCCTGCAGATCCACACAGACTCTCCCCGCTGCCGGCTCTCACGGCGGCCGGCGGACAATGCGCTGCACTGTGACACCAGCCCGCGCCGCGCCCACTCGGGGCTCGAGGTGTAAATATTAGCCTTGGCGCGGAGCGCGGGCTTGGATCCTCGGCTGAGCGAGAAGGGAGTGAGGGCCACGTCTGTCCTTCAGCACGGCAACGCCGTCTCCTGCTCCGTCCTCCTCCGGGAGCCGGGCCAGGGATGAAGCAGACATTTCATTTCCCAAGCTGGGCTCAGCTCCGACCCTGCAAGCTTGCTGTGTTGCGGGTGCAATTTTGCACGTCTTTAGAAAATCTGAGGTAAACTGCGCGGTGTGCCGCAACACACGTCACCTAATGATAGTCGTCCGGTTTCTGCTACATCTACTGCTCGTCCCGCCCCCTCGGCAACAAACAGAAATGCCTGCATCCTCAGACTACATCTACTACATCAAGCGCCTTGAGAAGCCACCTTTAAAGGCGTTATATAAAAATACGTTTTTTTATTATTATTATCACTGGCATAGGCGACCATCACTCCTACAGCTGGTGCTACAGGTCCGAAGGGGCAGAAAATACAAGAGAAAGAAAGGGGAAGAGAAGATTGGAAGGGGCCTGCCCTGGGAGAGAAGAAATCTCTCTCTGTCACCCCCCGGCTCAAGGAGCGCAGATGCCGCAGCCTCAAGCCCGGCCAGGGCAGCCGCACAGCCGGCCTGCAGTCTCCCAGCGCCAACCCTGAAGGCCGAGGCGTTGGTGTTTGGAAAATGTCACGCGTGATTAAGAGCTGTTAGCGATGAAGGCGTCTTTCGAGCTGCCCTTCAGCACCGCCGGGACGCGAAATGGCGAAATTTAGACGCAGACCGGGGAAACTCGCTTTGCTCGCCGCCCACTCGTGTCGAAGGCTGTTTTACCATCCCTGGTGTAGACGGTCTCCTGAAACCGGACTCCGAGGCAGAAGCAGAGGGATGGAGGCCGATATGTTATTCTCTGGGTACAACATGTCGTATTACGCGTAGGTAAAAAAAAAATAGCCTGGTCTCATTCTGAATCCACAACAAGTCAGTGATATACTTTACTCCGGCCAAGAACCGGCAAAAAAACAAAACAAAAGAAAAACAAGCACGCAGAGACGTACTCCACAAAACCATGTATTTTTTTTCTTTTTCCTTTGTCATCTTAAAAGTGTTTTTTTCCCCCATGCCTGACTGATTGATTTATATCACAGCGCTAATCCGAGAAACCCACCGGACAGTCCATTTTCGCGCTGTGGTAGAGTCGTGGGCTGGTGTCTGGGAGGCCATACACAGACGCTCAGTTCGAGAGACCCGTTTTAATCATGTTAATAAATGGCATTTTCATGGATAGGAGATGGGGGATGGTTCACAATGACTCAAAGTATTCTTTCAGCTAACAGCTAATGTGTCACTTTTCACAACTAATTTAAATTCCACAACTGGACTCTGTTTTATATAACCTGCACACTAGTAGACACCAATCTTTAAAGCAAAATCATTTTTTACAAGAAAACATGAAAGATGATGTGCTCTGAGCACTAAATCACATTATATCTCTGCTCCACTGGGCTGGTGAGAATGGAGCTGGAGCCTGTGGTATGTCTGCCCCAGCAATACAGCTTTTCTGGACACTTTACAGGTAATGGGAACTCTACTCCTCCACAACCAGTGGGCAGCCCCACCAGAATGCTCCCCACACACCAGCTCTCAGTGGGGAGGAGAACAGAGTGATGAAGCCAGTTCAGAGAGGGGGGTTATTAGAGGCCATGATCGGTAAAGGCCAGGGGGGAATTTGACCAGGACGCTGGGGTAACAGCTCTATTTTTTTCTAGAAACACCCTGGGAGTTTTAATGGCCACAGAGAGTCAGGACCTTGGAGAGTCAGGACATCTCACCTGAAGGACGGCGCCTTTTTTTACAGTATAGTATTTTTTTACAGTATACTGTCTACACCTCTTTCAGCAGCAACCTTAGCTTCCCAAGGAGGTCACCCATCCAGGTACTGGCCAGGCTCTCACCTGCTGATTCCCATGGGCTGCCAGCTGTGAGCTGCAGGGTGGTATAGCTGCTCACAGCTGTCTCTCTTTGAGACAATCCAAGGGGTTTTAAAGTATAAAGACTGACCTAACAGCTAACATGTAAATTAAGAGTCACACCATTGCAAAAATCAATCCTTAGTTATTATGTCACAGTAATATGTTTTTGGGGAAATAAGAGTTCAGAAGCTTCTGACTTGCCTTGTAGTATTCAGTAGTTTAGGAGGTGAGCAGGGGCAAAGGATCAGGTGGCTAAGGGAATGACAGATTTACAGTGATTACGAACTTAATTTCAGAGCACCTGCCAGCAGCCAGATGCTGTTTTTGGGAGAGGATGCTGATCCGCTAATGCATGAAGGTGACACTGCGTTCTCTTCTCTCTGCTTGCCAAGGGATAGAGCCAGCTGCATACTAATCTGCTCTGAATCCATGAGCCCCAGCGTCTCGGCTAAGGTTTCCCCATGGGGCCCCGTCAGCCGCCACTCCAACTGCTAGCTTAGGTCTGGCGGTGCAGGACTCGTACAAGTCTGATGTGAAGCTGCTGTCATCACCCCCGGTAGTGATATGTACAGTATAATGCATGTATATGTACAGATATTAGTTGATGCATGCGCACAGGAAAAGGAATTGTATATAAGCCATGAAAGTAGTAAGACAGCGTGGTGTGCAAGTCTTTCCAGTAAAGTTATTATTCCCTTTCAAATCTTGTGGATTGTTAATCGAACCCAGAATAATAACAGAACACCCCCCAGCTCCAGGGCACTGGGATCTGAACTGTACTAGAATCCCCAACCGCAAAGCTGCATCAGGACAACGACTCACAACATTGTAAACTGACGCTGCCAGCATTGCCAAATCAGTGCTCCAAACGCACAAAAGGGAAGGTGGACCGTATAAACCTGACAAAAACCTGATGGCAAAATCTGCTTTGTGAAGGAACCCAGTTCTGCATCTGTAATCATCCGATTGCGGAATAGTAAAACCTGTGGCTTCATTTCTAACTTGTCCTTATCCCCGTGGACTGCCAGGGGGCGCTCTTCCCCCCAGAGGGATTGCAGTGAAGGGAGGACAAGTGGATGTGGCTATATGAACTGACGGGATTTCACTGGACTCTGCTCCTCGCAGAGGGTTATTAAGGGTTACCTTCGAGTGTACACACCAGCCTTTCCACCAGTTTTTGAAGCTAAGGCGCCAAGCCTCTCGCATGCTTCTCAGTCAAAATTAAACAGTGGGCATTTTCTTAGGCAGGTGTACAGTGGCTGAAAATATTAGCCTTGGCACTGCAGGTGGAGGCCGATCTCCACTGGAAGGAAAAGGCAGGCGCCCCCATGAATGTATGGAAGCCAGCCTGGCATTGCTGGACTGAAGGCACCCAGCCATCAAAACAGGCACAGAAATATCAACAACCTTAAGTGCGCCATACTTTGGGTGTTTCTGAGTAATGGAAGAAAGCTGAAAAAAAATTGTATATAAATCTTTCCGAAAATGTTCTTTTTTTACACCTATTTCCTGTCCATGTTGTTACCTTGCTATGTGGTGGTTCCCCATGTAGTTCATGGGATAAAATTAAAAGCT